TTTAGAATTGTCCATTAAATATTTATGCAGCAGTATCAGCTCAATAATTGATGTTCTGGAAGTTCAACATTATAGTAAAAATTATGCCAAAATTCATTCTTGATATAATTTTCATGACTTTGCACCACCTCTAGATATTGTTTCTTTGGAAAATCCTTCAAGAATATTCATTTGTCAGGTATCCATAGAACAAAATCATATTAATATTGCAAATTTGAGAAAAATTGTTTATCAAACACCCTGGTGTCCATACGTGTAACCCATGTTGAATGCTGGTTGCCTCTGGCTGCCAGCAGGGTCACATGAACTATGCAACTGTCTGCACAAATTAATCAAATTGAGTTTGCCCTGTGCAAACTGTGCAGTTAATTGGTTCCAGAAATCTTATTTTTCTTGGAAAAGTCCCGATAAATTTACATCCTCTTGAGCATGGTGGATAGACTTGCAGATGCATTTTGGATAATCTTGTATTTGTGCAGAAAACTGCAGTTACCAGAAAGCTTCTAAGGATGTTATGAACTGTGTCCAACTATATAGGCATAAAAGAGCAAGCATTATTCCCATTTACAATGGTAACACTAGTTGCCCATTGCAAGAGAAAGTTTTGATGCAATGCATGTGAAATTTAGGTTATTGTACTTAGACATTTTTAAAGAAAAGCGCTAGTTGGTGACAATTTAGGGCCATTGTAGATTGGAGTAAATTTCATTGTTGTATTTATTAGTTAATTACATTTTATTACTTTCATCAGCAGTAATAGACAGAGCTGGGCAGCGCTACTTGGAAATGTAGTGGCACTACCGCTACCGCTACATGCTCTAAATGTAGCGGGTGCTACCGCTACACCCACTAGATTGTAACGGGCGCTACCGCTACAGTAAAATGTAGCGCGCTACATTAGCCGCTACAATGGCCAAAATTATTGGAAATCTCTAAATGTTTATTCATCTGCTATTGGGATTTACTCATTAACATTTAATGATAATAAAACATTTTTAAAACATATCAATGCAACTTTAAAGCAATTAACCTAACTGAACTAGTATGGGTTACCCCAGGGTTAGATACAGTAAATAGAAGCTACAGTTATTTTTATGTTTTACCTTCCCTACATGGATGTGAACTTTAATCTACCAATCTAAGAAATTATCACATATATAAAAATCAGTTTTTTTTTGTATATATATGTGGATTATTTTTGAGATTGGTAGATTAAAGTAGACATCCATGTAGGGAAGGTGAAACATAAAAATAACTGTGACTGTAAGCAAACTGAAAGATGGAAACTGAAAGATGAAAAAAACCTGTAAGTGGTAACTGGTAACAACTTAACAAGTAACAACTAACATGTTGACACTAGTAACAGGCTGAGCTTGACAACATTACACCGAAATCTTTCGTACAGTTTTATTCTGTAATTTATATTATGTATGTATCATGCTGGTTTTTAAATAATATTTAATACTATTAAGGGGACCGGCTACCCTAAAAATCGGAAATTTTGGCTTTAACGTTTTTTTTTGACTCATTTTGTAGCTGCTGAAAAGGCGCGTCTAACGCAGTTTACTGCATGTCTGTGCGTGCTATAATTTTTGCGTAAGACAATTTTAAAAATATATATATATGAACATTTTTAACAATATGTACAAAGATTTATTTGAATTAAATCTGTATATATAGATCATTACTCTCGTTAATTACAAAGTGTTTGCACTCGTTTGATAGCTACAAACGAGACGCGTTCAACAAAGCTACTAAGGTACCATAGATGTACATGCAATACTTTTTTGTGTAATGCAGTCTTGAACTTTTATAAAATGATCATTTTATATCATTATTTACAAATAAATGGTATTTATATGTCATTATTTAGGTTAATTGCAAAGTGTTTGCACTCGTTTGAAAGCTACAAACAAGATGCGTTTAACAAAGCTACTACCATGGATGTTCATGCAATAGTTTTTGCGTAATGCAGTTGTAAAGTTATGTAAAATTAATATTTTATATATATATATATATATAAATGAAAAGTCCCATTTACAGCCTATTATTCACGTTAAATTGAACATAAATAGGTCTAAAGACGCGTGCTGGTACCTTGAATGCAAATAACTGGCAATGAGAAAGCTTGGGCTACAATATCAAGACTTTTTGGGCATATTCTTCTGTTTTCAATGAATTTTACTTTATTTGGCTCCCCTGAACAATTTAAAAATCCAAAAAACGCCATCTTAAAAAAATTATAACTCCAACAGTTTTCAAGCTACGACAATGAGAGACATACCATTCGATTTGTAAAAACAATACCTAGCGACTCTAGAAGCCTTTTTTTTAATATGTGCATGGTTTGACTTATATATGGGAGGGGGAGGAAGGTGGGGGGGGGGTAAAATATGAAAAAAATGGAAAGAACGCAAAAAAAACTATGAGGAAAATAAATCGGGGCTCTACAGTCGCTAGATATTGTTGTTGCAAATCTAATGATATGTGTCTCGACATTGTAGCATGTGATTTGCAAAAGTTATAAACTTTTTTAGAGTACCCCTTATATGCCGTTTTCTATTAATTCCATGTTTTCTTTCATTTTTTTTTAATTTACATGAACAAAAAGGTCTTAGATTTCTGTTTTACATATGTGTACCAAGTTTCAAAACAATCTGTCTGTAAACAAAAAAGTTTTGTTAGAGGGTAGCCGGTCCTCTTAAGTAAAATCTAAAGGCTTTATCTATAAATGTAGCGGTAGCGCTGTAGCGGCAAAACCTCGTATCTCTACTTAAATATGTAGCGGGTGCTACCGCTACCGATACATTGCCTTAAATGTAGAGCTGCTACCGCTACTGAAAGCGGCCGCTACATGTAGCGCGCTACTGCCCACCTCTGGTAATATAGAGAATATAGTAAACGTAGAACTGCCATGTTGTTATTCCAGTCAGAACTTCTGACTGGAATAACAACATTCTGGTAGTTTAAAAAGTAGATCAGTGTTTTATATTGCAAAAATCTTTGTTGAATTTGAGGCGTAATGGTTGGCTCTATAACACTAGATAATTTTCTTCATATCAAAGATATCCTGACCTTTACAGTTTGCTTGTAAGAAAAAAGTTTTTTTCTACATTCACCAAAAATAAGTTAATAACTATCTACTGTTGTCCTTCACTTTGCTCCTTTTGCAGTAACATTCCACCTTTAAATTAAAATTGTTCAATATATTTAATATGCATTTTGTGCGATAATATTACTATCAAAGTCATCTATGGCTCCACATGACATTAGCTGACACCCTGGGTGCTGGCTCCCTGCTGTTATGTCTGCTCTGACCTTTACCTCCCCTTCACAGCTGACACAAATGAAGCCTCTGCACCCAGAAGAATAGAGAAGCTAATTATATGAGACATTGTCATATATCAAGCCTTGGCATTTGCCTAAAAAAAATTATATATACTGGTATACCAGTATAGGAAAAATTTATTTCCTAGTTCTTGCCATTTGAGTGATGAATGTACTTGTCATTTGAATGATGAATATGCTTGTCATTTGAATGATGTAAGTGCTTGTCATTTGAATGATGAATATGCTTGTCATTTGAATGATGAAGGTGCTTGCCATTTGAATTGTGAATGTGCTTGTCATTTGAATACTAAAGGTGCTTGCCATTTGAATGATGAAGGTTTCTGTCATTTGAATGATGAAGGTGCTTGTCATTTGAATGATGAAGGTTTCTGCCATTTGAATGATGAAGGTGCTTGTCATTTGAATGATGAAGGTGCTTGTCATTTGAATGACAAAGTTGCTTGCCACTTGAATGACAAAGTTGCTTATCACTTGAATGAAGTATGAAGGTGCTCCTAATAAGGTGCTTGCCATATGCACTAGGAATGTTAGATGATGAAAGCACAGGGCCATTTGAAATTTCATCAAAATAGGTATATATAATATGAATTTGATGATTAATATCAAGACGATTTTCTCTGCATTTATTTCTATGCCTTCCATTGAAATTGGTGTCAGGAGACATCAGGTCAGACTTTAGCATCAGTCAGCCTTCAGCCATGACACTGTTTTTCATATATTCAAAAAGCACAGCCAGCACACCTCCCTTGAGGTCAAAATATGCAAAATATGTTAGATCAATAAGATGGATTTACCCTTAGACATCTTAAAATACCTATCCTATTGTTCTTATCCATAGTGACTAAGATGCATTTAAATTGAAGAGAATTTTCACACATGGTCTTGAAACTGGATTTAAAGTATGGGTGCAATTTTATTGTTTTATTATTATTATTTCATTTAGTTCTATATTTGATTTTTCCTTTGCCAATCCACCTGATCTTATTCTTGTCATTGTCCTCATATCACTCATTCTGTCTCCAAAATTGCTCTAGATATCTTTTTTCGTTGTCAGTCACAGTCACAGATGCTTCCTCAAACAAACCAACCCATTTTACTTTGAGGGCACATTACATACAAGTTTATCTACACTTTCACTGCAGTCTACTCATTGCCTCTTATTATGATAAGTAGGGTATTGAAGACTTTTATCTATTGATAAGTATATAAATGTGAAAATGCGCAATTTTAATATGTGGTAATTTTACTAATTTATACTCCATTAATGCAGCATGACATTTGCACAGAAATTATTTTCAAAATGTGGTCAAGTAAATAGGGTAAAAATGCATGTGAGTTGAATGTTGTATGATTCTATCCTCATTTTATGTTGTATTTTTTATATTACTATGGTATATACATATAGCATAGAAATTGCTACTATTTTCAGTAAAATTAATACTGCCAATTTATTCACATTTTAGAAAATTATACTAGAAACCTATATATGAATAAGAATATATCCACTATATGTGCATTTAATTTTTTTGCTTCACTGTATGTGCACAATAAATTGATTACAACTTATATTCGGCGAGAATGGCACGTTGTCTACAGGATCTATATATGTACGCAACACTCGAGTAGCTCAGTCGGTCTCTTGAAACTATTGAGGAGGGTCGCATACTTCGTTGACGGTCGCTCGCTTAGTGAACTCCAGCTCTTGCTCTGAACAATGCATGCTTAGTAACTAACTTTAAAGTATGCTTTAAAGTTAAGTTACTGAGCTAGTTAAAGTAAAGTACACATGCTTTAAAGTAAGAAATGCTAGTGTAATGGGCTGAAATGCCTGGAAAGCGATATAATGAGTAAAGAAGATTTTTAAACGCAGTCGTATTCGATAAAATACCGCTCGAGAAGGATTACAGGATAATCTGCATTGTCGGTGGAAAATACAAAGAAAATGCTCGTTATTAATCACGGTTGATATTATTCAATTGCAATAATATCGCATCCCTCGTTTTGCTGATCATGTCCGTTGCAAGTGAACAAGATTCCTCGGTTGTGTCTGACGGGTGCCGTCTGCTGGACAATCACCTGTACCAGTTAATTCAGTTCGATAGAGACGATAGCGAGAGAATCGTGCGCGAGAAAAGCAAGCTGGAGGAAAGTGTCGACGGTCAGAGTCTTGCGGCTGGCTGGGCGCGCGAGAACAGTTTCCTGAGACGAGGCATCGCGAACTATACCATCGACGACGCGCTTCAGGTCTGCTGTATTGGGCTTATTTGTGGTGTTTGAGCTTACTTGTGGTGCCTGAGTTTCTTTGTGGTGTTAGGGCTTACTTGTGGTGCCTGGAGTTCTTTGTGGTGTTAGGGCTTACTTGTGCCTGGAGTTCTTTGTGGTGTTAGGGCTTACTTGTGGTGCCTGGAGTTCTTTGTGGTGTTAGGGCTTACTTGTGCCTGGAGTTCTTTGTGGTGTTTGGGCTTACTTGTGGTGCCTGGAGTTCTTTGTGGTGTTAGGGCTTACTTGTGGTGCCTGGAGTTCTTTGTGGTGTTAGGGCTTACTTGTGGTGCCTGGAGTTCTTTGTGGTGTTAGGGCTTAATTGTGGTGCCTTGTTTCACTTGTAATGCATGGGCTTACTTGTGATGATTTGCGAAGTGCGAACAAACATGCACGTCAATCGGAGACTCAAGACGTGTGCGATTCATCCGGTTATCGGATCGTATACTTTCCCTTATGCGACGTGGGCGATCTATCTGGATGTGTAACGTAACTTCCGTTGTGCGACGATAAAGAAATGCTTATCTAGCTGTAGAAGATAAATAATTGCATTTAAATACAAAACCGTATGTTTAGTGTACCCAGCTCTATAATGTGTAGATAAAGCATTCGATTCGGATGTATATTCTGATAATTGATTGTCTCAATAAATTTATGTTATGCACAGTATCGTCACGCTCCTTGTAATTCACGTCAATTTCGAGTGATAATAATATCCACTGCGCAGACATCCTGCTTTGTCTCGCATTGCATGCAGTGAACATCGTCGGTCAACGTGGTTGTGAAAAAAGTGAATGCGTCTCATTAACTATTACATCTCTGGTGCGGGGACGGTGAAAAACTTGGGAGGAAGTGATGCCGCGATATAGATATGGATTACTGTGCACTTTGTGCACTCGCGTGTTGTACTGAGTCGAAAACTTCGGTGTTAATCGCGGTCTTCTCTCTTTATACAGGACGAAAAAATTCGGACGCTCAAACTGGGCGGCCACGTGGGCTTTGACTCCTTGCCCGAGCAGCTGGTCTCTAAAGCGACTCAGAATGGCTTCACCTTCAACATACTCTGTATTGGTGAGCCTTTTTGTTTGTTACTCTTTCATTGTATGCCTTTTTAGCGCATTTTCTCATTTATGAAAAAAATGCACTATTGTGCTCGCCATGTCCGTCTGTCTGTCTGTCCGTCCGTCCGTCCGTCCGTGACCTCAAGTTTTCGTCGACGAGAAAATGCGCTCTCTGTCACTCGCTGCAGTGAGTACTGAGTTATATTTTTTTGTTATTGTAACTCATTATAATTCGATTTTTATTTATAAGTTTCACTGGTTTTCATTAAATACTGGAGAATATATTGTTTTATTTTTGGTACTAATGTGTTGATGCGTGGATTTTTTCCTTGAATTTTCAGTGTTTGAAAAAGAAAATGAATTAAAGTAACTTCGCTGCAGCAGAATTATGCATTCGCGTGCAGAGCCTCAAAATTATGTTCGCAGTCGCTTCAAGCTGTATGTTTAAGGCATTAAAAATTCCCTGGGCCAATACTTACATTCAAATCTTTGTTAATTTTATTTTTTCCTCTTTCTTAAATTGATCGTTTGACTGTAAAGGTATACGTATTTATTAACTTATTACAGAACTGAGTTATTCCATTTTGAGGTTCAGATGTTCTTCTTGCGTATCATATCTCCTTGAAACTGTTCATGAAACGGTTTATTTTTTTAACTAAATTGTAATTTTTGATGTTTGCTCCTTCTGCATCCGTCGTCCTAATTGATCTCATATCGTTATCACTTCAATATTAGAAACACAAGAAGAAAGTGTGAGTAGTTGCGTGATGCGCGGAATCATGTCTCGCCCCTAGTTAGTTATCATTTAATTATGTTGCGACGACACGCAGTGATCGCTCTCTCTAAGCAAGTGGTGCAAGTGTTTCAGCAGTGTTCAGCTGTACCATGTATTGTTATTGTTTATTCAGCCTTCTTCCTCGTCTGGCTTTCAGAAACATTTTTTTTTTTGTCGCCCCGTTTGCTTATGTAGGCAACCCACTGTTCCATTATTTTGAAGGTGAGTAATTGATTTGCGCTGATGGGACTTGGCTGTCACCTTATCCTGATACATCTTGATTTTGATACATTTCAGATTCTCAGTGTTGTATATTATTAATATTTTTAATTATGAATACATTGCCATTCGGTAAAAATTTACGAATAACGTTTATTTTTGATTTTCAATTTCTTGTTATAAATTTCGTTCTGTCGTAAATAACTGATCATTTGATAATTGAAATCAGGATATAGAAAACATTTCTAGAATTCAATGGACAGGACGAAATAAATTCCAGTCTGTGCTGCTTCTGTGTTAGAATTGCCATTAGTGTGCAAATTTAATCCTACCCACTGACGATCTATTCATTTGGTCGAGTTTCGTGCCACGTAGCGCGATTGTGAATAATTGTAATTGCAGTTAACTGATACCGATTTTTATGTATAACGGATCATAGTTTTTTTAAGAATTGCCATGAATATAATATTTACGAACACAGTGTGTAGCGAAAAAAAAATTTTCGCGTTTCCATGCGCGGCAAAAAATTCTTCTAAATATATTTGTGCCTCGCAGTCGCTACTATTCGGCGATCGCAACTCGTTTACGCCGACTGATCGAAATTTGTAATTCATGTTGTGATCGGAGCACTGTAAGCACTTATGTTGTGTTACGTTTTACGGAAACATGTTTTCGGTGTTACGAATGCATTTATGTTGTGTTAGGCGAGACGGGCATGGGCAAGTCTACTCTCATGGACACGCTCTTCAACACGAGCTTCGAGTCCACACCGGCGACGCACAGCCTGCCCGCTGTCAAGCTCAAGTCTCACACTTACGAGCTGCAGGAGTCCAACGTCCGTCTTAAGGTATTCATTGTCCACGTGTAAAGCGCACTCACAGAAAATAATACTTGGTCCAAGTAGGTATGCACTTTTTGCCCTTGTGTGGGTTTTCCTGACTTTGATTTGCCCTGCACACAAGCGTATCCGTGCAACGCGCAGAAAGTGTCATTGTTTGGACAATGAAGCATATTCATTATTTTGAGTGCAGCCTCATGGTCACTAATTTTGGTACTTACAAACTAAATGGTTTCATTCGAGATCTGCCAAGGAGGTTTGCTTAAATTTTCGATCATATTTGCTGGGTACTTTAGTTTGGCTTCCAAGTGCTGTAAGAAAAAATTGATGATAGGCTGCAGTATTTAGTTCAATATGACCTGACTGATGGTTTGTTTTGAAAGACAATAGAGTTGAGTGCGCGCTGAATCTGCACGGTCGACTGAGATGACAGAAGATTCTTCCGATTTTCAAGACTATAAAAACATCTACCTCCGAGCTTAGTCTTTTAAACCTTGAGCATTACTTAAAATCCTTGCTAGAATTTTTAATACGTCGCTGTGTTGAGCGAGTTCGGCCCGGGTGTAGGTGTGGTATTACGATAAACCAATGAACCAAAGCATTCGTAGTGTCATGGCTTCATAGACATTTCTATAGAACTACACTCTATGCATATTTATCATAAAATTTCGTCAATAATGTTTTCTGTTAATTTTTATGCTATGATTTGAAGTGGTCATCTGATTAGTCAACGCATGCTCCCCGTTTCAGCTGACCATCGTAGATACAGTTGGCTACGGTGACCAAGTGAACAAGGCAGACAGCTTCACTGCTATCGTCGACTACATTGACAAGCAGTTCGACGACTACCTTCAGGAGGAGCTCAAGATCAGACGCTCCCTCAACACCGCGCACGACTCCAGGATACACGCGTGTCTTTATTTCATCTGCCCCACTGGACACGGGTTAGCTCTCTTCTGTCATGTATTGTTTCATGTATTATTAATCGAGTTTAGTAATCTCTTTTGTTGTTACGCAGAATGCAAGTTGTTTGTTGTAAAAATTGGTTTGTTGAGCTATCACGAACAAAATGAAATTCATGTCTGATGGTGTTACTGCATGTTTCTTGGCGTTATAAACTTGAAAATAGTGTAAAATTAGTTAATGAGAATGGGTGGTTAATATAAAGGTAATTGTGTTTAATTCTTATCTGGAGGTATTTTCGTTATTGCATTGCCTGGGGTCTTATGCACATTTACCCTGCATGCAAAATGAATGAACTTGAATTTTTCGCACCTCGTTCAATTTTCTGATCAGCTTCTTCTGCTTTCGATGACAGTCTGAAGAGCATTGATTTGGTGTGCATGAAGAAGCTGGACTCTAAGGTCAACATCATCCCGATCATTGCGAAGGCTGACACGGTCTCCAAGGTGGAGCTATCGCGCTTCAAGGCTCGCATCACACAGGAGATCAAGAGTAATGGCATCCATCTCTACCAGTTCCCCATTGACGACGAAACAATTGCCAAGGTGAGTTGACAGTAACATTAGCCTTGTTTGTTTTTTCCTCTTTGCGCGGTCTATTTTGTTCCGCTCAGTCTGAATGGCATTCCCACTAGGCATCTAGCGTCGATTTAACACCTTTTCACTGAAGTCAACGTTGTATCAGCGTCATATGACTGGGAAGTTGTTAGACTTGGACATTAAGTAGCCACCTACGTGACCTTTACCACAGCTGCTGTTTGAATGTTGTGCAGGCATGTGTGTTTGAAAAACGATATAGGTTATGTTAGTGTCTTGACTCTTGAGTAATGGTGTTTGTCGTAATGATTCTGATTACTTCATCGTGTATCTTAAGAATTCACTTTGGATTTAATCAAAGAAAACCAGAATTAAAGAACCAAATAAGAATTAGAAAATTGTTGAACTTTCAATAAAAGTGAGAGTGAGAGATGAAAACTGTGGTCAATTGCCAAGTAAAAAAATCAAATCAAATTTATTGTCCAGTGGAAGATTATAGTAAAGTTAGTGTGCTTTTCACGCTAATGAAAGCTTCTCGTTCCAGACGAACTCTGAGATGAACGCCCAGATGCCGTTCGCGGTGGTGGGCAGCACCGACTTCGTGCGCGTGGGCAACAAGATGGTCAGGGCACGCCAGTACCCTTGGGGCACCGTGCAGGGTACGTAACCTCGACGCTTGACGTGCGTAAATATTTTATTAGATCAAACATCTATGATGTTTGTCTTCTTAGTATGATTCACTTCCTCTGATCAGCTGCATGCAATCAGCACTTATCACTGAATTTTCAGTGATAAATGATTCAGCATCTGGATGCTTGTTAATTAATTATTTAAAGAAATATACAAGTTTTGTCCAGCTTGAAACTTGGTCATGACTCCATTAAATCTCTTGTGGTGTTTACGTTGACGAAAGAATTGACGGTTGACAAGGAGTCCTTGATAACTCTCACAGGTCTCCGTCATTCGCTATCAATGCGTCTACACAGTCGATATCGAGATCGATGCACAAAAAATGTCGCACTACAGTTTTAATTTTTGTTTGTTTGAGTCGCTTTCCAGTTATTAATTGTGCGTTTTAAGGACATATTTAGATCGAAAACAATGTATAGGGATGCATAGTAACAATCACACCGTAAACTCGTGGAAGAACGCCTCAAAACTTTTTTCCTGATTAAATTAATCAAACATGATTTACCCGTTCAAGCTCCGTGCGTCTTGAACCCGTGACGATGAGGGCTAAATATTTTATGACCAACAGTGGAGAGTGAGAGTCACTGCGACTTCACGAAGCTGCGTGAGATGCTAATCCGCACGAACATGGAAGACATGAGGGAAGTGACGCACTCCTGCCACTACGAGCTTTACAGAAAGAGGATGTTGGAGCAGGTCAGTTGGCGTAACCGGTTTTGCATCTGTGCTCTTTGCGACTTATTTACTCGGTCTGTTGAACGAAATTGGTCCTGTGGCTAAAACTGGAGTAGAACAACCTGCCTTGCACGTGAATGACAGTTCATAAAAAGTTTCTTGTAGCGTATGTTAAATAAAGATGGCTTGACAACTACGCTACCAAATAGCGTAGCTGCATTGCAGTGTCAGATCTCATTGATCGAGTGGAATGTTAGGCTTTTGCCATTTTACCATTTCAGACGCGTCAGGCGTATGGTAAGGTTGAACTATTGACACATGTTATATACTGGCCTGTAAATTGTTGGTCTATTTCAAATGTTGCTCTATTTCATTGCTTGGAAATACTCAAATTCTTCTTTGTTTACGCGTTAAATATTGTTTTTTTTTTTCTACATCTATGTTCTTCAATATTCTTTTGGACCTGTGTATTGGCTCTGATGAAACAAGAGCGATTAGTTGGGCTTATTATTTAAAGTAATAATACTCCGGTCGAATGTGCACATTTATTTGTTCATTGCTGTGACGCTGTGTAGATTTGTTCAATTCTGTAACGCGTTGCCATGTCTCCAGATGGGCTTCAGCGACGTCGGCGAGAACAACCAGCCCAAGAGCTTCCAGGAGACGTTCGAACAGAAGCGAGAAGAACATCGCGCTGAGCTCCAGAAGAAAGAAGACGACATGCGCCAGAGCTTTGTGCTCAGAGTCAAGGAGAAGGAGACCGAGCTCAAGGAAGTCGAAAAAGAGGTGAGGCTTTTCACCAGAGAAGGCATTTGCAAAGTGAACTATAGTGCACTTTGTTTCAGTTCCATTACTTTGAAGGATTTTTTTGCGTGAAAGAATTTTGTTTAGTTTCGAAACAATTAATAGCTTTTCATGAAGTTGTGTCCTTATTTTCCTTTTCATGGGCGTCTTTGTGTTCACTCTTCAATTTTCAAATTTTTCAAATTATTGCGTATATGTGAAAGCTCAATACTTTATTAACGGAACTTTCTGACATGCTAACAAAAGGGCTCCTGATGGTAGAAAATAACATTTGTGTTATGCAGCAGATTATGATGTTCATACAAGTTGAGTTTATTTCAATAATTTGTTGGCTGGTGCTGGCTGAACGTGATTCTCTTGACTCATCCTCTCCTTATAATGAGGAGCTGACACCTAAACACCATCGACTTCACTCGTTCATTATTAATGAAATCTACTTTGTTTCATTTTAGACTTGTATCTTTAGAGTAATTTTACGTGCCTTGACAGTTTTTTTTGATATTCAAGAGTTGTCCTGGGAGAGGTTTTTGGAAATAGCTATTTCTAACGATCGTTTCAATGATCATCTGGTCAATAAGTTCTAAAACCCGATCGTGTTGAACACGAGAAGGCAGAAATTGCTATTATACACTCCAAGTAAAGGGGACATAAACGTGCATGTTTTGTGCAGCTGTACACGAAATACGACCAGCTGAAGCGTGAGCACGCCGAGGAGAAGAAGCGCTACGAAATGCTCAAGAATCGCCTTGAAGAGGAACGAAGTGAGTTCACCAAGCGTCGCGCCCAACTCGTCACCAACGCCCACCACCACACCCTCACGCTGGGCAAGAGTAAGAAGAAGTGAGGCATCGCTTCCCCTATTCTGGGGCTACGGGGGCAACAACGTCACGAGATGGGAACGATGCAAAATTCCAGTGCACTTCTGCATTGTTATGACACAACGGTTACAAACCCAGAGGCTAGGTTGAACCATACAGGTGCAACCGTAAATTCAGCTGATGTATCAGGGCAACTTGGAAATTCAGCTAAAGGTTCACAAGAGTTTATTGGTGGGAGCAGCGATGTGACACTTCAGATAATGTCTGGAAGTAATAACGATGTTTGTGATGGCGAGTACAGTGACGTTAGTGATGTTGACAGCGGGCTGGTTGATGGCGGCAGTCCACTTTTAGGATTCGAAAAGAAGTGTGCGCCTCGCGAGCATTTCGATGAGGCGCTCAACAACAACGAAAACGTGTGGGTGAAGCAGGACCAAATTTTCCGACCCGTAAGTGTGGGCTGTGCACTCAACACGGAAGAGCTCGGCTCCCTCATTAATCAAAAGAAAGAGAAAAAGAAGAAAAGTTGCTTGAAAGTCCCTCGCACGAAGTGGGAAAGTGTCAAAGAGGGTAAAAAAGATGGCTTCCATATTTGTGGGTTTTTCAAGTTCAGTTATTAGGGAATTTTGTGAACACGGAATTTGTAATTAGCTATGCAAGAATTGAGACTGGGCTAGCGAATGACGTGTGTTCACGGCACAAAAGATGGCAACGCTAATTTTTTTAAAATGCTTAATTGTTCAATATTCTTGACACTCTTGTGTAAATTTATTGCTTTCCTGTTTCATCAGTAACATAATGCATGCATTTCAGCAGCAGTGATCACTTGCTTTGTGATAAGACTAATATGAATTTATCGTAATTGCTCTGCCTGCGCCATGCCATATCCTTTCATTCTGAGGTGTGCCCTTGTAGTACTTTCTCTCAAGTCTCAAGCTTGCCAAGGTTTAGATCATAAACGTTATCCTAGCGTAGGTTATCCAGGCAAACTTTTTTTTTTAACGTGATGTTGGATAGAGTTCTCGAATTGTTGACTCTCACTTCTAACTAACATCTTAGAACGAGTTGAGATAGTCGTAAGAATTTGTTGTACCGCAACCTCAGTTATTGTGCTGGTAGCTCGTAGCTTACCGTGGGATTGCAAATGTGCATCCGAGTTTTGTTTGTGCTTTGCATGTGAATCTCTGCTGGCTTCTGTCTGTACTCTTAGTTTATGTTAGTGTTGTTGAAATTTTATTTTGTAGGAATTACAGTCTTCTCCGCTGCCAAGGTGCATACTTCTTTCACAACCGTATTTTCGATGATAGTTATTTGTCGTTCACACTTTTATTATCGTAAACATGTCAGATACACTTCTGGATGAAGTACTGTTGATGATTTGTAATTTCCAAAAGTTAATGTAATGTAAATCTAAAAGTTGAAAATTTTCATGTCGGAAGTAAGCCTGTCAAATTTCTTAGTTTGAACAGAGTTGTCAAGTTGCACTTTATGATCTTGTAAATGTTGCCGTCTCACTTCAGAAGACACATCGTATCAATTCAATTCAATGAATCAATTAATTGAGTAATTTAAGGATCCCTTGACTTCATGATGGCGTCTAAGATTCAGAGCTAAATTTAAGTTTGCCTTTTGTTCTGTTCAGGGCCATTTTAGTGCTAACATCAACAAATTGTGTGAACAGATGCTCACTTTGCATGCAAGTCGGTTAAAAGCTAGTCAAGGCTGATTATCACTTACATTATTCCTTGAAGGAATATTTGCATAAAAACTTCCCTGAAACATAGTATGAATATTTGGCGCTTGTTCCAAAAGAATATTTCAGTATTAGTAGTGAAATACTTCAGACGGCTTGAATTAGTCCCAGAATTTTGATGAATTTCACTGCTGTTAGGGGACTAGTTGAGAATTTCGTCAGTTACTTTTTCCAACACATCTTCCGATCAAAGTATTTTAAAAATAACTTCTCTTCTGCTATCAATATTTTTACGTTGATTCGATACTCTACCCAGGCGTCTCCTCCATGGGTTTTGCTATTCACCTAATTTTCTCATTCTTATTCTGTTGTTATTATATAAGTAATGACAAAATACTATACAATCAATTCCTGTAATTGTTTTGGAATACAGTTCACGCGATTAATTTCTTTGTCGCCTCTTGAGATTGCTGTCAACGCAGGTTACATTGTGTCTACCATCACCATTAGTCTATCTTCAGAGAGTAGTAACAAACGAGATAGTAAGTTTTATTGGAGAAAGTCTCCATTCTTTGATAGGTCAGCCATTGAGCACCAAAGATCATTTTTACTGAACTAATCACCGCTTAACTAACACTCGTTTTAGGTTGTATTTAAGGTATTTTTATATTATATTCCATTACGAATATTCAAGAGTTCTCAGTACATTATGGCTTCTTGACTATTTCTCCTTTTCCTCTATTGTTTATTCTCATTGTAATGAAGCACACAGTTTTTTATCAGGGTACAGCGTGCTGCCGTAGTCACGTGAACTCTTTCGTTGGTTGAGTGCGTGTAGAGTTATCCTCAGGGGTTTTAGTTTAACTGAGTAAATTTGAATACTCAAATTAAATTATTAAATGACATGATCAAAATTATGGCCTTGGTCTTTTTGTGTAATTTAAATGGTAAATATTAAAGTTATTTTTGTAGACATGTGATGCGCTTGCCTTATTACTCGCATTTGTGCTTTGAATTTTTTCATAATACCGAAGTGCAAACCTTGAGTGGGATTATCCCTTGATAATTTCTTAAAACGTGGTCTTCAACTCGTGGAAAACTTATGTTGATAGATAACCAGTGCCAGCACCTGCATATATTTCATCGTTGTATCTTATATGTTGGAAGTTATAAGGATTATTCAGCGCTTTAAACTCGTAAAACATTGGGGGAATTGCGAATTTACGGAATCACTGACTTTTAAAGCAAATAATTAGATCATACTCGCAGTCTTGATACGAAAGTTCTTCTAAGTTCGTCATTCGAGAGTAGGTAATATAGCTCACGGTTTTAGCTGTATTAATGATCGTATAATTGTAGGCCTGAATTGGATTCGTAACGTGAACTTGTTGAATTATGATTTTTTTTTTGCGGGAGTTAAGTCGCGGAACATTTCGTCCTTTTGCCCTGCTGCTCTCGCTTTACTGTCACAGTAGATACGTTGATGCAGAATAAACCCGAGGAATCAAAATATACAAATTATATTCGGAGAATATATATATTATGCTATCTAATAATTAAAATTTATTGCTGTCGAATTTTCAGCATCGAACTAAATTTTATAAATCAAAGACGTTGGATTTAAAATTAAGGCTTTCAGCACAAGTTCATCTGAACTCCACAGAAGCCAGGGACGGCCAACTATCTGTAGACTATAGCATCAGCTGAACTAGTCATGTTCCATTGACTTGTCTCTTATAAGAGATTTGTATATAATAGAATCATTTGTAACCTAATAGCAACTAAACGGTTGAAAGTTTGGTTTCTGCAAAAAATGTAAAAGTTGGGCAGCCTCAGTTTCTTATACAACCACAAAAATATCTAAAGACTCGCTTCTTTTTTTTTTTTGTCGAAGTGTCACTTTGCTTAGGAAATATTTTTTACCATAATTCAAGCCATATAATCTTAGTTTATGTAACTCAGATATTGACATTAATCAAAAGCGATGCCTTTCTACTCCTTTGTTCACAATCAACCCTATTTTGATATTTATCACTATTATCACTAACCTAACATGTTAGTAGTAACCATCCAAATATTAGCTCATATTTTGTAAGTAGTACTCCGATAATTCATCCGAGTGTGGTAATCATCGATGTCTGCTCATGCAGCAACAAGTTTGGCCAAGTAGCCATCGGGTCCACCGATGTACACAGCGCCATCATCTGCCACAGCCAGACAGGACGGAGTTACGCTGGCATCGTACGTCGCCAGGAGTTTACCCTCTGGCAGCTCCCACAGATTGACTTTGTTGTCGTACCCGCTGCTTGCAATCCTCTCGCTGCCGCTCACTGTGTTCCCGCCAAGACAAGTGATGATCATTGAATGACCCTGCCCATGTATGAGAACTTGTAAATTGAGGTACAATTTCTTATAATTTTTGTTCTAAGTGGTCATTTACGAAGAACAAAGTATCTTTATCAACAGCTGACTCGCTCATTCTACCGTCGCACTCAGTTACGAAATATTTTTATTATGGTCATGTCTAATAAGGCGCCCATTTTATATCGTGGTGAAGATATCATTTATAGGTAGGATTGTTGGTCACGATACTATATGGTGCCCATTATTAGTATAACTATTAACTTCAGCTACGTACGTAGAGATTGCATAGCCACTTATTTTTTTCCTAAAAAGTTTCAGCGAAGACAAGCCATCGAATGTCTCGCGTGGGAAGTCGAATCTCACCCTCAAGTCTGTGATCTTCGGGAAGTCGTTAGGCAGGTTCTTGTGAAGATGCAGACCGTAGCCGGCCCCAAACTCGCTGTAGACGAGGTGCTCCTTGCTCAGGTAGATAGGCGCTCGGCCTTGCAATGATTTCACCACCGTGTGCTGGTTCGTCTCGCCTCCTGAGATATGGCGTACCTTCAGCGCCATGAAACTTATTACACATTATTATTTTCTCTCTTACATACGTCAAAGCATATTTATCGTGATGTTCCAAATAGCATTTGTAAGAACTCACTTTTGACTTCAGTGACAGAAAGCCCTCTGTCTCTGACGGTAAAGAAGAATCTATCGTAGGCTGCCATGTCCCACACTTCCTCGACGACCTCGTACCTGTTCTCTGAGGCCAGACTGTCGCCGTTCCATATGATAACCTGCACAACGTACATATGATGTAGTATATCATATATAAAACACACGTATGATGACATGCACAACGTAAATTTCATGCCCCGCGCAATGTACACAGACCTGAAAAAAGTTTACATGATGCCCCACATAACGAAAATACTATGACTTGCACAGTACAATGAGTACATCATCTAGGGCTGCAATTTCAACGGCACGACTTCATTTTCGGGATTTCGTTTCGTATTTAAATATGTGCTCTGTATCTAGACGATTGATTTTCACTGAGTACGCCTTTTGCTCAAATTGATATTTCTGCAATTTAGTTATATTAATAGGCAATTAATGTCCGTTTTTGAGCAATTGCGGATCACTCACGTCGCCCTTTTCGTCGCCCGAGAGGAGACGGTCTCCGTTAGTAGCAAGCCTCCTGACGGGTTCCTGGTGCCCAGTGAGGGTCGTCACCAGCTCGAAGGTGCCCAACTTCCAGACTTTGATGGTGGCGTCAATAGAGGCTGTGAAGAGTCTGTCCTTCAGTACCAGCAGGTGGTACACGGCGTAGTCGTGAGCCTGAAACTCAGTCTCCAACTTCAAGTCTTTATTCCACACCTGAAATGGTATAGAAATCATTACTAACGTCCTTTACGTGCAACGATATTTAAATTTTGTTTCGCCCCCTTCTTTTTCAATCGCACTTCACAATTTTGATGATCCAAGTTAAAAATTGTTATTAATAATGGAATCCGTCATCCTCATTCCCGTTCAAAATCCAGCGCGACATCAGCCATCGTAAGGCGAGGTAAGCGATGATGTGCGCGGAGAGGATGTCGGGCAGTGTACCATGGAACACGTTGGTTCCATAATTCTGTTTTCGTGGATCCTACACGAGTTTTGAGGAGTTGAGTTAAACTTTATATAAAGTCAATTATCATGAAGGTGGTTTTTGACGATGTGTTTACCGTATAATTAACGATGCATGTTTCGAGGACAGTTTGACAGCTCCGAAGCTAACATAGGTTAAATAAACTTTGTAGCTACATGGATGAATCACATTCAAATTAATGATACTAGTAGACATAAAATATGAGTTTAGGCTAAATTGGTTCCAGCTGTAAAAAAAATTATCTAATTTATTGCCTTAATTTTATATTAAACTCGAAGTGAGTTAATTACGTTACGTTATTAAGCTCACCTTGACCTTGCCGTCATCAGCTGCCGTATAGATGCGCCCGCCATGCAGCACGACGCTCTCCATGTCAGCCCCGTGGCGACTCTCCACGTCTGCCTCGCACGCCAGCGTCAGCGACACCATTTCTGCATGGAACGGCCTTCTAACTCGTTAGTCTTCAGTAGCATGTTACAGTGTCTTACTTTATAACTTTTAACACTACACCTCACTGCAATGAACTAAATATTGTTACTTGCCAGCAAACACACTAGCTCTAGTCAACAATTTTGCATTGGTTTTCATTCCAAAAGTATTTCATAAAGGTAATACTTTCTTCACTCAATCATTGGCGAAGCTTCAACTGCAGTTGACTCACCTCTTGAAAATTGAAGCTTGTCTCCCGTACGCACACGTTGCCGGCTTGAATGTAACTGAGCAATTTTTTGGCACGTGCAGACCAGCGGCGAATATTCTCGCCTGCACTTCAGAATGACTGGTGGAGAACGTTCAAGAACTTACGAGGAAAGAAACTCGAACGCCTCAAACTTGTTCGAAGATTAGTCTTAGGTTCTGTTTTTGATGTACACTTACGGATGTGATCCTATGCGCTTTCGGGCTTAACTTGTAACAAAATTTTTTTTATATCTATTTTCATTAATTTTTGTGAGCTTAGCATAAGCACAGACGTATTGCTCGGTAAATTAGCTTTCAGCAAATTCTTTTAATTCAGGCCCTCAAAACAGCAGAAGAAAACGACCGTAAAATCAGCACTAAAAATAGAGCAGGTATCGCCTTTATTATAACAGCGGCTGCGATGCTATTTTGAGGACAGATTGCCACCCCACGCACCGGCCAAGAATAGAAATAAACGCGACGTGTGTACGGCAGTCGTTCCTGTACGCAAGCGCAAGATGTTGACGACCAATTTGTCGGTGAGAAATATATACGTAGTCTTGAAAGGTGTGGATCCCTGCCGCACTAGCAGCAAATGGTATCGCGAAAATAAACTGATCTTTCAATTCTTCCAAAAAAAATGGAGTTTGAATAGTTGTTGGCAGAACCAGGACATTTTCGTGTAATACATCTCGAATTAACCTCGTTTTTTTTTTCGATGTTAAAATTGAACTGCCAGTAGAAACATTTCCGCCGTCATTTGAATTAATTATTTAAATATTTAATTTAATCAACAAAGTTGAAATATCAGAAACTATGTCGTGGATCAAGCAAGCTCCACATGAAGAAATATATCTTGCGAGTCATAATTAATATCAGTGGACAATTATTCGACAAATATGGTCACGTTTATATTATATTTGCGTTATACGCATGTTTGGAACTAGAGTGCGCGATTAATATTACATTTTTAAGCACATTGAAGGCAATTGTTTTCAAAGGCAGCATTACTACTGGTTTGCTAATCAAATATTCAAGGAATAATGCTGATATAATTTCGTCAACAAACTCAATTGGGCCATTCAGCTCGCGAATTTAATATAATTAACACATATAACTAGAGTTTTTAAATACTTTTTCATTACAAATGAATTCATAAAGATTGAAATAGGTACCATAACAATTCAAAGGTATCAGATAAATTATCTACTAAAATCTGCAAGTTTGAAAATTCACGTAACTAAGATTTGAAAACTTAATGTTCAAAAAGTAGAAGTTCTAGTTCAAGCACAACACAAATACATCGCGTTGAAGTTGTATTCAATCATTAATTATATCAATCCATGGGAAAGCGGTAAAGTTGAAAAGACAAAATCTTACTCAACTAGGAACGGTGCACTAGCGCCCAACAGGAACGGACATTGCTAGTTATTACTACAGTTTTGCCCTACACAGCCTATGACAGTCAAGTATTTCTGAGAATAACTTATTTTAAATCACGAATTGGGTTCTACATAATTGATTACCATTGCAAATGCTTTGTGATAGAATTTCATTATAAAGCTCAATAGCCGCAATAAAAACTTGGAGATTTTGGAGAACTCAAGGTTTTGTGATGCAATGCTTATTTAAAAGAACTTACTCAAGAATTTACTTTGGTTAATTTTTTTGAAACAATTTTAATTATCAGACAATTCTTCAAGCATTTAGTTAACTTGAACTTCTAAAATGGAAATCGTAGCCACAAGAAATTATATTTCTCGACTACAGACAAGAGAATTTGGGTCCGATGATGACAGGCTTTTTAGCGAAATTTACAGTGACGTTGAGAATCATCCAGTGAAGCTCGACTGAGAGTTTAGGCAAATACAATTCGATGTTTTTCATTCTTAACCTACAGTGCGAAATATCAAGTATGCAGTTCTCTTCCACAAGGAAGACATAAAATCATTCAACTGAGAGCAATACAACTAAAATTTCGTCCAACTTCCATGAAATGTTTCAAATAGTAGAAGCAAAATATTGCACGCGTGAGCGCCACAAAAGCGTGAATAGACTACGATGAAGAAGGAATTTTGACGCGGCTAGCAGCGCAATGTGCATGAGTGCATGCCAAAGCGACATACAAAGGAGAGGTGCTGATAACTAGAAACATCGTGTTGACGTAACCGATCTTATCACAGACTTAGATCAGTGAAATGCTTCGGCGTCTCTAAAACCACAAAGTATAATTTTTCTATGAATTCGACCTTCCATCAACACGGTCCATTTCAGGGCCTTCAGCGTTACTACTTGAAAAATTTATGAAGAAACCGCTGCCGATAACAGTACTACTTCTTGGTTTGTGTTCAACAATTATTCACGTCGCGTGAGGCAAGGTTAACTTAAAGATTTGCTTCCTTGGTAGACCATTTCAAGACTGACAGCACTGCCACAAAATTGTAGAGTATCACAACACCATCACACCATTTTCACAACGAAACCTGCACAGGCAAATAGATAAAGGTATTCCGTCAAACACGTGGTCAAATTTCAGCCATCAAAACCATTATTAGCGGCAGTTAGAAACTCGTTCAGGCAATTTTAGTAATTGATCGGAACTTATTTAATGTCTTAATTAATTTAATTAATGCCAAATGTGATCGGAAGTCTGATTTCGATCGAAGCAATTCTTCCAAAGTTTAGAAGTTAGTAAATTTCGTTCAATTGCCAATGTTATTATGAAATGGAAAACACAATAGGAGAATAAATTTCATGTAATATAAATTTTGTTAAAGTATTTTCAGTTGCTAGCAACCGGCCAATTTTTTGGTTGAACTGTCATCTCAATAGCACCATAAAATACCTGCCTTTTCACAGCGCGCTCAAACTGGCAGTCTTATTCTGTTATACGAGACTATGGTTCAAGAGACTATATGAGAATATATATGTAGACATTAGAATCGTTGTAACTGAGATACAGCGACACAAAACGTAGAGAAAAAAAATGATGGAATGTTTGACGCACAACTTCCAATGATGCGCACCTCGACGCCTAACTAATTATAATGCGCCATTATAAATTTTCACTCAAACAAAACAAAATATGAATTCAATCAAGCAGCAAAATCTGAACAAGATCTAGTAGGCCGGAATCGGAAGTTGTGAAGCAGGGAAGTAACGTGCCGTTAGCAGACGCGTTACTCGTCGACCACGCGCCACTGCAGGACGCTGCTATCACCACCACCCAGAGACACGAGGAAGCTGTCGTCGTGGGAGAAGGCCGTGGATGTGGCATGGCTGCTGTGACCGCGGCACACCTTGTGGCTTGTCTGTGTCAGGAAAGTTCGATGAAAAGTTATTTAGTTAATGACATGTATTAATTCTCTTAACACGTGACATTGTACGCGAGTTTTTCAGATGCAAGTAAATTTGATAAAAATCCCGAAATTTGATTTTAAATTTAATCCATTGTAAATAATTAAATTTTAACATATTTAAAACTTAAGGATATCATAAAATTAAAGTTTTTGCATTTCAAGTAGCAAAGTGCTTCATTAAATGCAAAATTCTGAAACCTAAACTAGGGTAATTCAGTAAATGCATTCGAAGATTAAAGCTCACATATGCATAGTAAGTTTGAGATTTGAAGAGCTTGATTTTGCCGAAGTCATCGGCGGTGACGACAATCGGCTTCTGGTGCGCGGCGGTGACAGAGTTGAGGTCCGTGCCGTCCACGCCCTCCGGCCACACTCCGAAGTTCTCGAAACAGAGCAGACACGTGCGGGTCGCCCACTCTGTGTCACGCAGCTCTGAGGCGCTCGTCTCCTGGCTGCAGTCTTCCGTGCGCCCTGCAAGTTATCAATTTAGCTTTCAAAGTTGAAAATAAACATTGTTATCAATGCTGTTAGCTTTCAAAATTGAAAATACGGAGACTTCCAGGATCTTTAAAGGGTATAATAACCGTCGTCAACTGCCGGTTCTTGCCTTTATTTGGCATTCTCAAATTTAAAAATCTTAACTTTCGTTCATTTACGTAACAGCTACTTGTGAAATACGTTAATCCATGAACTTACAGTTATAATATTTTCATGGCCAATATTCATGAATTAAATCATACAGATGCCAGTAAGAGAGACGACAAAATCAGTTTTCTAGTCATTTTAGTTTTTCACCAAGTCACACGAGTACAATCTACAATTTTATCAATACTGTTTTATCAATACTGAAAAGAGTACCGGTATCTCTAAAGAGTATCTCAACAGGATTTATAGCTAATAATCATTTCTTACGTAGCACCTATGCAAAACTTATTTCACTTCAGACGAAATAAAACACCAACCATTGTAAAGCTAGCGAGGGCGAAAACATGATAATTGGATCAGAATAGTTTAACACGCACTCTATTCATGTAACTTGATGTAGCCATTGTAACTCGATGATAATAAATCTAATTGCTCTAGATCTAGGTGACAAGTAATAGGGTATATTTAAATATCAATTTAAAAATGTGTTTTAAAAAACATATTCATCATTATCTTAGAAAAAGGCATTTAATCACATAAAATATGAAATTATTACGATTACGAAGACTCAACATTCTCCAAATAAGACTGGAGACACAACACAAAGTTTGCCCAGGCCGACAACTCACAGAAGAGCAGCTCGTAGTCGCCAGAATTGGTGCGCAGGAATGAACCATCGGCAGAGAAGTCGAGGCTGCGGATGAAGCTTGAGTGGCCCTGTCCAACAATATACTCGGTATTATTAGAGACTGATTAATAATATTGACGATTATTAAATATTCACGATATTAAATATTATTTAATAATTCGGAACTATCATAATTTCTTGTGCATCTTTAACTACAGAGAAATGCACCGAAAGATAATTGGTTAAAACGTTTCCGCTCAGGGAGAACATTAACATGATGAATATTGCGTTTCCGTCACTAGAATTATTTGTTCGGTCTCCTAAACTAATCCACTTTCACGAACCGTTGAACGTACGGATTATATTTTCGTCTAATCTTAGTCATCTCAAAACAAAAAAAAAAGAATAAAAAAATAATTTACAATTCTTCGGACAATGACAATCTTACCCCTCCAATATCCAGTCCCTGGTTATTTATCTTATTTATTATATTATTGTGGAACGAAAAATACAATTTTTACAAGAAAAAAAAGTTAATTAGGAACAGTTAACCTTTGCATTAAAACATTTATGATGAAGGGAAATTGTGCACATCAATGTTCATGAACTGATCGACTTGTTTATCATTTAGCGATATAAATTCATTTATTGACTCACAGTGCAGGCGCCTCGACTATTGTATTCCTTGAAGGCGTCGCCAGCCTCGTAAATATAGACGCTGTTGTCCCGGGACCCGAGCGCCAGCAGCGACCCATCAGGGGAGAACCGCACCACCTGACACAACACGTTGACAACTCACAGCACATAATAAAGTGATTATTCAAGGTTCCTGCAGATAAAATCCTTATGAGGAACATCACGTGAATGACTGTGAAAAAATGTATGGCAAATAGGGAATAATACAAATAAATTTGCTGCCTCGTTTCTTTGGGCGTACGGACACACAGAAATGATAGTTAATAAACCTTCGAGAACGATTCAAAAAGAGTCAATTATTCAAGAATAATCATCTGTACACCATAAGTAAACCTCCCTCTATTGGTGAAATATTGCAAGTGAACAATGCGAGAAGGATGTCTCAAAATTATGTACGTAAACCGTCTATGATGTTTAGTTCACGTATCAAGAACATGTGACTTCTCGAAGTAAAACAACTGAAATTTACTCAAGGCTTAAAGACATAAAACTTAAATTCCAGAACAACTGAGTTTCAGAATATAACATCGATTCAGAACAGAAATCATTTCAACGGCCGTTGATTCAGTTTCGATGTTGTCAGTTGCCAAAAAATTAAATAACCGCAAACACTGTAATCAATTGAAAAAAATTTTAATTCATTAGAAAACATTGTTACAGAATAGCCGAAAATTATAGAATGAATAATTGATAATTACGAGACAAAAACATCATTCATGGTTCATTGAAGAAAGCGAATGATAAATAAAAATAAAAGGTATGCTCATGATAATCAATCTATCATGCTGCTCTGCTCATTCGCTCATATCATTTCTTGGCAAGAATTTTGAAGTAATAAATGGTAAGAAAATGTGTGAACGAAAATATTGATTACAAACGATGGCACGGCATGGGTAAGATAATCGAACAGACATGACTGTGGACAGTGATATATTGCTGGGCAACAGAAACATTGAACAATGATAAATCTTACGTAAAAGATATCTGAAACAATGATCAATCCTAGGTACAAGATGCAATTAACAAACACTATTATACGTATAAGTTACGCAATAGAAAAAACAATGATATAAATACAAGGCATCATAAAATAAGTAAGTTGTATCAACCTGTATGGGTTCATCGCCATCATGTCCCTCGAACACGACCTCCTGGGTCTCGGTGTCCAGCACCTGCCACGTGCCGTCAGCCAGCCCCACCACGACCACCTCCCCTCCAGGTGAGTAGCACACGCTCTGCACGCCACTCTGCACTCACAAAGTTCTACTCATTAGCCAAATAACGATGTCTCCACCGGCTGCAGCCTATGCTCTGCACGCCACTCTGCACTCACAAAGTTCTACTCATTAGCGAAATAACGATGTCTCCACCGGCTGCAGCCTATGCTCTGCACGTCACTCAGCACTCACAAAGTTCCACTCATTAGCACAATAACGATCAGCTCTAGTCATCCGAAGTATACAAGTTGTGCATGTCGCTTTGTGCGAATTATCTACAATATTCTAAATTTTTGTTTCAATTTAAAATTTAAAATTATGTTTTAGGAGCTCGGCCAGCTAAAGCCGACTTATACGGTTAGTTGCATTTTACTCGTGGCAAGACAGAGGCATATTGCTAAGAATTGCAGGCAAATAAGAGGAACAACATTTACGAGTGTTGTCAGATTATAATAAAAATCACGGCCGTACTATATCTTTTCTCTATTCAAATCATTAAGGACTGACTTTTGTTTGTTTTAGCCGCGTGATTTGAACTTCGACCTATGCACTGTCATCAAAGGAGTACATCGTAGCAATGCCTAAAACTGTACATAGAACAAGATGAAAATGCTGACCTTCATAGAGACGAACCACTGAGTTTCTTTAGTCTCAGCGTCTCGCGCGATCAAGAGGCCGCCCAGGCACCCGGTCAGGAATTGGCTGCTGGAGGGATGAGTGGCCACGGCCCATAGCTCTTCTTCGGCTCCCTGTGAACGGCGGGCAGAAACTTTCAATGAAGGAACTCAACATGACGCGAGTGACTATGACGGTGAAATAGAGCTCAATATTGAGCTCAATATAGCTCAATATTGAGCTCAATATAGCTCAATATTGAGCTCAATTTCAAGTTCATGTTAAATTCAAATTTAGAGAGAGATGATAGATAAATATGTACTTGAAACAATATTTGAAAGAACTACTGTAGTAGATAGTCTATTTGCGAAATACAAACGATACCTTAGATGGCTAAATACAGTCTTCAACAACCCATCGAAATTAACACGCAGCACAAGTATTTGCATTAACATTATGGCTCAACTTTCAGATTTTGCGGGTCAAATCATGGTACGATTTACAGTAAGTCGGTGTAACTTACGATGTCAGAAGTCTTACTCGTTAATATAATCAATGTGCGCTGTTCGATTATTGTTATCTTCCAAATTGCCAGTAACATACGTTACCTTGAAGATGGTGGTGAAGCCGTCAGCGAGGCTGCCTTTAAGGAGACAGTTCTTGATGGTGCCCACGACAAGCTGCTCCCCCAGCACCGCAAACGCGCGAGCTGCTCCGTCGTTTTCGCTCACCTGTCGAGCAGGAATAATTAGTCAGCAGCTCTAAACAAAAAGTCGAGCAAGAGGCGTGTGTCAACAGCTCGAATCTAAAAGTCGAGCAAGAGGCGTGTGTCAACAGCTCGAAACCAAAATGTCGAGTAGGAGACGTTTGTCAACAGCTCGGAATCAACAAGATAAGAGAATCCGACATGAAATGTAGCCTAAAATAGCTGTGGAGCGAGTAGACAAAATGAACACCAGATAGGCGTGAAAAATAACTCCATGTTATGAAGATAAGTAATCGATTTTTGTTTCAAACGAAGTCTCTTGACCGCGCAGCTCACGAGAAAATAGTCAAAACTGAATCAATCGCACAAATAATGTAAGCGAAAGGCAGGGATTCACAATCAGGTGCTGCAGCATCTCACCACAACAGATGCGCTGGCTTCGCCAAAGTTTACATCCCATTTCTTAATAGTGCCGTCCTTGCCGCTTGTCAAGAAGCCGCCTTCGTGAGGCAGAATGAAGAACACGGAGCCTTCGTGTATTCCAGTCACCGCTTTCGTGACCTCGCTGCCGTCTGGAAAATGAAAGTAACCGAAAAAATGAGTTTCATGACGCTCATGTTCAGTTCTTGTTCAAGTTTACACATTGTTGTTGTTTCCCAATACATAACATTACTTTCATATGACAAGATTTGGCTTAGTCTGAATGTGGATCCCTGTAGCGTCAAATAGTCGTTCAATTTTATACTAATAGCACACTTGCTTGCTAATAGAAGATCGGTTCCATAAATCTTGACCCACACAAGCGAAAATTACACGAAAATTTTATTTGTTTTATAATCTAACCTTCCTTCCAGAAGAATATATTGCCGTTGTTGTCTCCCGTGATTGTTTGGCCGCTCTCGGTGAAGGCCACAGCTGTGGTGAACTTGGGCTTGGGGTGAGAGCCATAGACGGCCGTGCGTTTCTTCAAAGCTCCGTCCTCGAGGCTCCAGAAAACAAGAGAGTTCTTTCCGCTCGTGACGACGCGCTGAGTGGACTCGCGTGAGAACGTCACAGCGAGCACAGGGTCGCCAGAGCACTGGCAACGGACATGATTGTTAACTCAATAATATAAAACTTAGATGGCAAGATAAAATAATAACGACATCAACGATATGAAACTTGAAACTCACCTCGAAAGATTAACACGTTCAGGAAATATTTGTACATTAAACCGACGTTCATTTTATAACAAAAACCAAAGCACTCTGAAAGGAGGATCTTGAGATGCAATTACACATTTGTCTTCAGACGAAAATTTGTATCAATCTTTGTATTGATACAAATCAATACAAATCTAGCAACAATAACAATAGCCAATGACTTTAATTAAATTATTAGATAAATAATTTAGCAATCATTACTCAATCATCGAGTTCGATTGTTCAAGTAGACAATAAAATAAAGAAAAGATAAAATTCAAGGTTTATTAGTCCAGATGATAATACATGAAAAATCAAAGCAGAGAAAGAAGATGATGCAAGTAGATGAATCATCGAAGTAGAGGATTCGAATCTCAAAGCAAAATATATTTAAATATATTTGTCACAGACGCGGTGTGAGTTTACTAAACTAAGCAGTAACTCACGCGAGCGGCGGCGACTTTGTTCTCGTCCTGCCACTCCCACACTGACAGCCGCGGCTCAGTCGCTTCGTCCACGACGGCGAGCAGCCCTCCTCCGTCCTGGGACAAATCAACGCGTCGCTTAGCAAGGCAAGCCTTCATATTCAATATGGGAAATTAAATAAGATATTAAATACTATTAGTAGACTGTTGAGAGCTCATCAGGCAAACGTGAAGAATTTAATTCCCGCAGAGAAATAATATATTCCCGCGGAGAAATAGGAGGGGCGATCCAAAAAACACACTGCCTGTGTGGTGGGCGATGTTTTGGTAGTACCGCATTATCCCAGATTGTGAATATTCTAATGACATTCCTCAGCAAGTGTAAAAAGCATTTCTGCCCCAGAAGGCCGTGTTCCGCTATCGCAATTTATTTTCGTGACATTTCCTTAGCGCGCTCGTCTTTTTGTGATGGAGAATTTCCGTGAGCAAAGTGCTGCCATTAAATTTTGCTTTCTTCTGTAACAGGAAGAAACTGGGAATGAAATGCTACAGACAGCATACAAGGATGATGCTATGGGGAGAACGCACGTTTCTAAGTAGTTTACCCGCTACAAAAAAGTGGAAATGTCAACTGACGACAATCTTTGTTCAGGTCGTACTTCCACTCACCGCACTGAAGAAAATGCTGTGAAAATTAAGAGACCAAATCCTTGAAGATCAACGTAGAAGTATTATCAAACTTGCGGAATTGTCACAAGTGACGCGGAGTTAACTCCAGCGAATTTGAAGAGAAGATTTTGGCTAAATTGAAAAATTTCAAGGAAATTGGCTGTTTTTTATTTGGGTTCCCCCCTCATATATTTCCAGGTTCAAGTATATTTGTCCTGCTCTTAATATTAAAGACTATTTTTTACGAACCGACTGACTTCTTGACACTCACTGTAACCGAGAAGGCTAAGCAGGCAACCGCGCGCTCCACCTCCCCCGTGCCGAACACGTGCAGCGTCTCCAGGGTGACGCTGCTCCACACGCGTACGTGAGCCTGCACGTGCGTTTAGCGTCAATTACTGCTTAAGTGACTATTGATACGCAAGTTAGCGACAATTACTACGTAAATATTTCACTACGGTACTTCAAGAGCAATCGTTGCTCTACGATTAAAGGCAAGACGTATCAGAGCGTTACGCGTATCAAGTATCTCACCGCATCATCAGCAATGACGGCTCTATAAGAACAATTTAAAAATCATTAAGTACACTGCAACCACAATAAAATGTTTCAACTAAAGAAGAAATTATGCGTTTACTTCATACGATCAAGAAAACTGCTGGATGAAAAGGCTCATGGGTACCTGGGAACAAGGAATATCAAGATGGATACGCTAAGCTGTTAGTTAGAGCTTAAAGTTTCCGAGTCTAAGTTTAACTCGTATAACTTGTATGTTCTGTGATTTTAAAACTCGGGAAAATTTTTCTCAATTGAATGTATGGTTACAAAAAAGTGCGTGCCTTAAGAATAATTACGCGAATCATTGAAATCACTCAAGGTTTATCATTATTAAACCTTATTATTAACAGAAAATAACCACACGTTTTCACGACTCGTAAGAACTCAACAGAAAAAATTGATTGCTAGATGCGGCGCAACTCACAGCATCGAACTCGTCGTCGTTTCCTTTGACCTGGCCAGTGGCGACCGTCTCACCATCGGGGTGTACGGCTAGGCTGTCACATAAAGATTAACTATTATTCAGGACACAGATTAACTATTAATCATGTCATTTATGCATGGAGAAACCACTTTGGTTTCGATGAATGAGATAATTAATCAATTATCTTGCAGTTATCAATAACATAAAAGTAGGAGACTATTACGCACATGCAATATCATTGGAACTAAAAAAATCCAATTGAAACATGTATAATTTTGCTAAGTTTAAAAAATAATTTAACATCTCTTCTAGGCTAAAAGACACAATAGATCATTATTTCCTCTTTATTAGCCGCAATGACGAGTTTGTTTTGGAATAAATAATAATCAAAATAATAATAATCATTATTATGAATAATATCGAACGAGGTAACAAACAAAGGACAAGTACATACCTCCTGATGTCGTCGGTGTGCTGGTTGTAGAATCTCTGCGTGTTATCGTCAACGTTGTAGACGACGCCCACCGCCGCCGTGAAGTAAACAACCTCACCTGACGCCAGGGCTACAACGTTGTTGCGACACGTGCGGCCTCTGGTGAATTTGAACGATGAATAACAACTTCCCACCGAACACAGGACGTTGAATTAGCGTTTGAATTAGCGTTTATGCAGGATGAATTAGCGTTTATACATTCAGAAAAATATTCAACTCAACGTCAGATGTCTGGTGGGTTGACTTCACGATACGAAAATACAAGAATACAAGTATACCTATACAAGTAACAGGATTAACTTCAGGGCTGACTCTAACTATATCCAATGTAGTTTAAAAGCACTCTTCTACAACAACCAGTATTTTCACAGCGTCGTTCAAATTTACAACAAGAACTTTTAACAAAATATTTCAGGGTTTTAGAGACACAGCCTTCTAAGTATTATAGAAAAACAAATGTTCATCATTTCTCTTCACCAAAAGCGATATTTTAGTGAGCTTTGTCGCTCTTCAATTATTGTAACAAAACAATAGCTCAAAAGTTATTATTTTGATTTTCGTCGTCCTTCAAACTCGCAAACGCCTCGATACTGTTGGATTCAATATACGCTTCGGAACTCTCAATTGACCACTAATATGGTAAAAACTAGAGGTAAAATAACCTTACTAACTAATATGGTAAAATAACCTGCAGCGCCGCAATTTACAGTCAATTGTCTCACTTAAATGGCAAGCGTCACGATTTACAGGAGGCGTATTTATTTGTAATAGCTCACTATAATATTCCAACAAACTATTCAATAATTTAATATTTCTTTACTGTATAATTGTTTTAATATACTTACTTGTAGCCGTAGATATACTGCAGCTCAAGGCTCTGAGAAGGAGGGCTTGTCTCGAGGAGAGGATCGTAGCCATCATCTTTTATGGCCGTAGGAACGTACAGATGCACAGGACGACGGAGGTAAAACTTTACCTGGCCCGAATCTTCGATGTAGCTGATCTCGTGACTGAAAAGATGGAAGACTTTTTAATGCCCTTCTGGTCGATGATATGGCCGTTCAACACAGGCACTGGCTGGGTACAAGTTAGGTTGGAATCGGGAGCAACAATCATTTACGTATTGACTACCGGCCACAATCAGCTTGCGCAGTTAATAATGGATTACCCTGCGAGCATGTAGGTGAGAATTGTGAAGACCTCGCCATGGCGCGATACGTACAACATTCTAGAACAAAATATCTTAAATACTAACACTTCAAATAATAATAGCTTAATTTGCCAAAAAACAGCTGATAATGGTTTGCGTATGGATAAAGTTGACAAACATAGCAATTGCGCAGAGAGCTCTGTAACATCATAACATGACAAATTATTGGAATTTTCAGTAGATTCTTTACCAGCACATCGACTGAGTGCATTACAAGCATCCTTTAATAACGCAGAAGTGGTCACTGGTCAGGTAGGAACATCATTCGTCATGCTACGAGCCAGACTTACCCTTTACAAATAGATTACCTAGATTTTCTGGGGGGAAAATGTACCGGTATACATTAAAACGGAAAAATATTTTGTCCCAGATAATTACGGCAGCTCATGGGTCAAGCTAGGAGAGTTTTCAACAAGCAGTATAGCCACAAATACCAAGCACTAACAATCAATGGCTGAAACAAACAAAGACTGAATCAAGTGCACGGCTCACACTGTCACTTGAGCAATGTTTGTTCGCGCAAAAATTTGACTACCAAATACTGGCGTCGAATTAGATGAACACGACCATGACCGCAAACCGGCAATTTGTCTGATTAGAAGAAGTTAAATGCAATTGAAACTTAAAGCTCGTGACTATCTCGCACCAACACAAGGAAGTTTTGTGTACATTTTGGAAGACAATGAAGTTTTTGAGCACCATATCCCACGACAACTCCACTGCATAGGAATGATAAGCTCATGATGAAAGTATTGGAGACGAGATAGTTGTTCGTCTGAGCATACACTCCATTCAACTAAATAAAATAGTAGATTCATCCCACCTTTAAAGGCAGTTGAATGATGATGATAACACAACATTCTTTCCACATCTTTTTAAAGAATACACATGCTACGTTTTTTTTCTATTATAGAAACAACGAACGATTACTGTACACTCCATTTCGGTTGTTAGGTAACATCAGGCTAATAAGAAGATCCTTAAACGAAAAAAAAATGAAAAATTTAATTCCCACAGAACAAAAGTGCATGGTGACCCTGCTTCCATGTTAAGTATATATATATTTTTTCTGTTCGTAGGCATAAATTAATACATACATAAGAATTTAAGAAAACGAAGCTAAATTTAGACTAAATATGGAAGATTATTTTACAAATAGACTCTCTATTAATAGTCAAAACCACCATGCGAATGCATGCAACCAGTACTCAAATTCTAATAGCTTTTCTAGTTCATGTCTAATGTTAACGATTAAAGCGACTATATAAAAGAAATGATACATTTGTATGGAGCGAAATACACCAATAATGCAACAAAAAAATTATTTCCACCTCAAATTAATTATGAAATAGTACAATGAGCATAACCATGAGCCAAAATAACGAGCAAAATGAAACTGCACGCACAAAGCATGCATTTCCTCGTCACTCGTGCGACGAGACGTTCTCGTTCGTTTCCATTCAACAGGTCGAACACGATAAATAATTAAGAATGTATCTCATTAAAAACGAGCCTTAATTTAAAAACTAAAATCATCTTGATGGTAATGCAGCCTTGTTGATGCCATCGACTGGGCACGGTTAGAACTTCCTGAACAACATTCACATGAAGCTCAGGTAGCTGCTAGGTCTTATAAATGTGCAATTGTGCATGGAATGAACCTCGATATGTGGTGAGCCGTGGCCTTTAGAACCGATTTAATGTCACCGCACACCTTGCGTTCACTCGCTACTTCGGGGTTGGTGCGATATCGTGCTTATCAGAGAGTGTTAGTTTCATAACTTCAATGCTGTAATTGAAGCCTACTAATTCGGGTGAAATGAAGTGGATGTTTTTATATAGTACATGGAGTGCTATAATTGGCTCGAGTTTAGTGCCGCAAATTTTCACAGGCAGACCGAACATTGTCAGGGAACTAGAATGAAGAGCAATAATTCTAGAATAAAGTAAAAGAAAAATATCAAGTACATGAGATGAGGAGGTATGGTAGAATTGTTCCACACAACTGCTTGCTTCAATCTGTAACTCAGGTTAGCTGGCCATGTAAGGTTATATTTAAAATGGTTCTTTAAAGGTTTTGTTCAGTCGTAGAAATGTCAAGTCAGCTAAAAGTTAGCATAATATGAACAACTGGTCTTCATATAACTGATATGTGCCTTTAAATGGCAAAAATAAACCGTTCTCGGGAATTCCAGGATATATCGGCGGACACGGTACGTCCTCAACGTCGGAACGCAGCTCAATAGTTGATTTTAACAAACACACAACATTATTCTGTACCTGGATTTTCGTGCGGCATGTATCACTTATCAATTGAATAAGAGTTAACCCAATTGGAAACTCGACTGCAAAATAAATCATTTATGTAAAATGACGCATAAAATGAGAATATAATTTAAAAATTTACATCATGTAAAAGTTCCGGCAAACCATTTCACGGAATATTCCAACTCGCCCTTTAGCACTTCGATCATCAGCAGGTTGCGAAGTTATATTTTTTTTCAAATAGCTACGGCGTAACTATAGTTACTTATAGGCTGAGGAAGGCATAAATAAGAATAAAAATCAATTTGTGATAAATTGGAACGACGGCAAGCCAAATATGGGTGATGTTAAACAAACCTCATCGTATATAGAGCTTGACAATGGCGATATCTCAGTACTTCATAATAGCATATAACACTGGCACGCCAGCAATGAGACGATGAGAATACACAACAAAGATGGCGAGCAGCAAGTGAAACGAACCGGTTAAGAATTCCTCGGCCAAGATAACCTTGGACGACGGAAGCCGGTCCGCCATGGCAGGCGGGACGAGTTGTGTCTCCTTCACGCTAGAATGCAACGCTCGAGAATCCGCCGTGGAAGACAAAGCCGCGTCACGGACACGGAATGCGAATAGTTTTTCATGCTGAGATTATCCAGCTTATATCTTCGCTGGCCAATAATCGAAGAAGTCTAAAATGAAAAAAAAATGGATTCGCAGTTGCGATGGTAGCACGCAGCATGCACAGATGTTTGTAAGCATTCGTTTTCGTGAACTCTAAAATACTTACAACACATGGTAATTGAATTGACAACCATTGGTAAATAGTGGTTGCTTTAGCCGGAAATAGTTGAAATTTCTTTTTATGAAATTTTTATTTTAATAATGAGGGCTTCTGTAATTTACTGAAAGCGCAACGACTATCTTCCACGGCTTATCTCTATTCCAAGTGAAATTATTAGGTCCTCGATGGCATACTTAATCATATTGAACGACGTGAACCCTTATTCATGTTATAATGAAAGAAAACTTTACGATGTTATGCCAGGGCTAAGGTCCGAGAAGAGCTGATGCAACGAATTAATGACCAGGTGCTTGCCATACGAAGAAGGAGGTCGCTTCTTCATAATTTGTCAGAGTCATGGCATTGATAAACGATAAAGTGAGCTCACTGAAAATATACGGCGGCGGGACAAAAGGCTCGATAAAATTATAGGTGGACAAGGCGAAAATATGTAATTTTGATGGCGTGAATTATCAAGCTAAATGTTAAAAATAATTTCAAGTCGATTTGGATTCGGATAGTCCAAAACATATCAAAGAACCGGCTTACAAGAACTCAGACTAGGCGACAGGATCGAACGACATCAAACTTTCAAGGAGGGCGGCAGGAGGAAGGAGTGACCTTTATGTGCATAACGCGCTAATGCCGGCTGGCATTTATCATTCATAATATAGTACGAAAAAGAGGTGAAAACGAATGCTGTGATCAATAAAGAATTGACATCACATAATTACATTGACATCACAAATTACGAAATACTTTAAAAATGCTTTGCAAGAATATTAACGATTATATTACTCATATATTTTGTGCAACATTCAATTTATTAGGATACGAAAAAAGAAATGTTCCAGGAGTTTAGAGCTGCAGCCATCTTGTCATGTCAAAAGCCTTCATTCTGATGGCAATATGAAAGTTAGTCGCTGAGCGTGTAATGTAAGACCAATAAGTGAAATTCGCGCGTGAAATTAAAACTGATAAATTCCATTTAGAGGATTGAAATGATCGATAACATAATTATATTACCGAATATTCTAGTAAAATTTCGAACTTTTTTTCATAACCATATGCAACAAAAATACTCGTAAGTAGTCCTTTAAACACAGCCAACAAAATCTCGTCGTCATGGCAACGGGCTTCAGACAGTCTAAAGAGGAGGGCTCTGTCTGCACGATATTCAAAAGAATCCATGCGAGGTGACACGAAATTAATGATGCCCAACTTAACGACCACCATGGAAGGATAACGACCGGCGTGCACTGTAGCTAGTGTCCTCTTTTGAAAACGGTTCCCAAAAGGTTGTAACTAAAACGGTTGTAACTAGAGCGAATTCTGTACCTGGTTCCACCTGCCTTGTAACTAGAGCGAATTCTTTATCTGGTTCCCAGCAGCCTTGTAACTAGAGCGATTCTGTACCTGGTTACACCTGCCTTGTAACTAGAGCGAATACTTTATCTGGTTCCCAGCAGCCTTGTAACTGAGCGAATTCTTTATCTGGTTCCCAGCAGCCTTGTAACTGAGCGAATTCTTTATCTGGTTCCTAGCAGCCTTGTAACTGAGCGAATTCTTTATCTGGTTCAGGCAGCCTTGTAACTGAGCGAATTCTTTATCTGCTTCCCAGCAGCCTTGTAACTGAGCGAATTCTTTATTTGGTTCAGGCAGCCTTGTAACTGAGCGAATTCCTTATCTGGTTCCCAGCAGCCTTGTAACTGAGCGAATTCTTCATCTGCTTCCCAGCAGCCTTGTAACTGAAGCGAATTGTTTATCTGGCTCCCAGCAGCCTTGTAACTGAGCGAATTCTTCATCTGCTTCCCAGCAGCCTTGTAACTGAGCGAATTCTTTATCTGGTTCCAAGCAGCCTTGTAACTGAGCGAATTCTTTATCTGGCTCCCAGCAGCCTTGTAACTGAAGCGAATTGTTTATCTGGCTCCCAGCAGCCTTGTACAACTGGAGTGAATTCTTTCACTATCTGTGATAGTGAAATCAAACAGACTAGGGACTCGCAAGAGCAAGAAAACGTCCAATAGGTTAATCCAATGCCTAACCTACCAACACTGTCACGCAGCGTTTTAATACAAGGCGCTGAAGATGCAAACAAAATAATGAAAGCTAATTATAAAGTCGGAAAATTCTGTTGACGAAAATTTCCTGCACTAGGAAAGATTGTAAAAGTGATATAGAGTAGGCTTAAAGTTTCACCAATTTTTGAGTTCAAGATACGAGCTAAGATCGAAGTTCGAACCACCGTATTGTCAGGTATACCGAACAGTCCAATCTCCAAACGTTACGTAGGGATGAAAATTATTAATCCGTTTATCAAGTTATATGAAACGTGGTCCTTCATATACAAAGACCGTTTCTCAATATTTTTTATAAGAAGCTCGTTAACTCGGATAAATATAAATATATAACGATGTATTGTATAACTGGGTACAGACGTCAATACATACGCGTTACGTGAACGGAATTCAAAGAATTCTTCCAAGTGCTCTTACAAGTTACAGTCTTAGCAACGCATACATTTAGCCTCGTCCACGAAGTTCGTGCAGACACCTGCTGGTTACTAGAGGTACAGTCAGTGTTGAGTATTATAGAATTGAAACAATAGTATTCAACAGAATTATTGAATAAGTTACTCGTTTACTGTAGTACAATAGTTGTAGAGAATTGTCAGATTAAGCCGGGGACGAGACATCCCTCGCGGTGAAGGAACCACTCGCACAACCGGGACAGCCCTCGATTATATTGGTTCTAATTTCTAAATAATCGATGGGCATTACTATTACTAAAACAAGAGAGTCTAGAATAACTTTTGCAACTTACTCGTCTTCGCCATCGGCCATTGTGTTGGTATGCTAGTACAGAGAATAGCGTGTTAGTAACCAATATATTGCCACTTGCACTCTACCACCCGTCCTGTCCGAACGCTCACTGAGTGGACGAGAATTCGGGAGTCGGGACGTCTCGTCTGAGCGTGTTGCGCAGGCGCTGACATCAGACGCCTAAACCGTCGCTCCAATATGACCTTCCCTAAGCCAGACGTGAGTCACCAATGCACAGAGCTGGGCAGCGCTACTTGGAAATGTAGCGGCGCTACCGCTACCGCTACATGCTCAAAATGTAGCGGGCGCTACCGCTACTGCTACACCCACTAGATTGTAACTGGCGCTACCGCTACCGCTACAGTGAAATGTAGCGCGCTACATTAGCCGCTACAATGGCCAAAATTATTGGAAATCTCTAAATATTTATTGTTCTGCTATTGGGATTTACTCATTAACTTTAAAAGATAATAAAACATTTTTAAAACATATCAATGCAACTTTATTGCATTTAACCTAACCGAACTAGTATGGGTTACCCCAGGGTTAGATANAAGGCTTTATCTATAAATGTAGCGGTAGCGCTGTAGCGGCAAAACCTCGTATCGCTACTTAAATATGTAGCGGGCGCTACCGCTACCGCTACATTGCCTTAAATGTAGAGCCGCTACCGCTACCGCTACATGTAGCGCGCTACTGCCCACCTCTGCCAATGCAAAGCAATTCTGGATTTGGTTCATAAGGTATTACATTCGTGTTTGCTAAAAGATTGCATTACCTTCAGTCTATTGGTATTGATAGGATGAGGATTCGAGTGCTGACACTACTTTTGACGGTTTGTAGCAGTCAATTTTTTCAAAGCTAAATCGCTGAAGCTGACAATATTGGCTATATCACTGGAGACTATTCGACCATTCAATTCTAATTTTTGTATAAGAATTTCGACTAGATCGTTTGTTTACACGTGACTTGAAGCCCTCATTTTCAACAGGACTGTGGGACATAGACTTTCAGTTGGCATATATCGTCCATGAGGTGTAGTTTGTATTATAGTGACCCAACTAAGTTCACTTCAAAGAACTTCAAATGATAATTGACTTTAGAATAAAATCTTAATACTAAATCGAAAAAAAATTTCCGTACCTTTCTTAACAATGGACAAATTTATATCTATCTCAGGTACTGGGACTATTTCACACCATAGGAATAAGATATACAATACCTGAATCAGTGGTTCCCAAACTTTTTCAGGCTGGCGCCCCCTTTGGCTCCCTACTGAATTTCAAACGCCCTCCACAGACAAATAAAAACCTACGCCTCTTTCTTGAAATTTGGTACGCTGCAATTTTAAAAGATAAAGGTTAAACACAAATGGGTATTTCACAAATAGAATCCCATTTAGTGAACCAATATGTTTTTCAGCTGTTTTTACTGTTTCAGCACTAGAAACCCAGGACGTCTCGGGCAAATTTATGGCAGGACTCGTTGCCGGTCTCACGACCAATCTCCAAATTCAATTATCAAGAAATATCTCCCAAACTAATGAACGCAGCTCAATGGAACTTGGAACACGTATTCATCAGAACCTAACGTTATGTTTAGCTCGTGAAACTTTTTTTTAATTTCGCTTCCTTTCGTGAGTTATATTGCGATGAAGGCCGAAATTCGCAGTGATCAAAGAATTTCTTCCAAACTACTGAACAGATTTGAACGAAATTTTGAATGTACATTCCTAACTACCAAACGGCGATTTTTAGCTTTTAAAAATTTTTTTATTTTACCTTCGTTTGCGAGTTTTTTTTCATTTCACCGTCCTTCTTGATTTCACACTTCCTTATATTAAGCCCATAACGCCGGGTTATTTGTCGCTTAAATTCGCGGCGATCAAGAAATTTATTCTAAACTACTGAACAGATTTCAACGAAATTTTGTATACAAGTACATAACCTCCCAACGGTGATGTTTAGCTCGTGACAAATTTTTATTTTGCTTTCGTTCGCGCGTTATACAGTAGAAATTTCTTATAACCAAGAAATTTCTTGATTAGGTACTACGAATTTAAGCACGTATTGCTGTTTAAATCACGAATGAAGGTAAAATAAAATAAAAGCTCGCGAACGAGGGCACAATCGAAACAATTTTCATGTGCTAAACATCACCGTTCGGTAGTTAGGATTGTAAATTAAAAATTTCGTTCGAATCTGTTCAGTAGATTGGAATATTCCTTGTTCACAGTGAATTTCGGCCCGTACAGTCATATAACTTTGGCAAGAACAAATGAAGGCAAAATTAAAGAAAAAAAAATCACGAGCTAAAGATTAGGTACCGTTAGGTTCTAATGAGTACGTGCACCAAGTTTCACCCAGTCAAGTTCATTAGTTTGAGAGATATTCCTTGAGCATTGAATTCGGAAATGAAATTGGCCGTGAGACCGGCCGCGAGTCCGGCCGTTAATTTATCCGAGACGTAAACCCAGGAGAGCTTAAAAAAAAAAACAGATTTGGGTGAGACAACTATTGCTGGGAGTCATGTGCTGCACGTGTTGTGTACAAATCGTCAAACACACGTTCGAACTTCTAACTTCGGACTCCCCCTCTACCGCCCCCTTAACGCCCTCTTCTTCCTTACCGCCCCCAAAATCTTTCCAAGCCCATAGGGGGGCGATATCGCCCACTTTGGGAACCACTGACCTAAATGAATCAACGTCTCTCTTCCAAAACGCCAGTACAAACTGCCAGACTTATCATTTATAGATTGAATTCGCAAAATATATTCTACCTTTGTGACTAAAACAATTATGCATACACGATTCCGTTTTTCAAGAGTATTTGAACCAAGATTAAAGTTAACTATTTTACACCAGTTCAATTTTGTGTCATCTCATTTTTACGATACGCTAATCCTAAAAGGTTGAATAATGCTCGTAAATAACGATCTTGAGAAATCTAGACTTTTTGGTAACGTCGAAAGGTCACTACCAAATACATGCGACGGGCTAGGGTACGTAAGTGAAGGAAACTAACGGCATTACGGTACAACAAAATAAGGAAATTAATCAATAAACTTACCTCTTCTTCCTCTTGGGAGCCATTGCTTCTTCTTGTCTGGTTCAAATTTTGACAGCAAGGTCTAGGAAAGATCACAGATCTAGAAAATAATTCAAACAAATCACGGCTTAAATAACTTATTTATGAAATTCCTACCAAGTAATATAATTGACACACTAATCTATGCTAACCATCGCATTTATGAAATTCCTACCGAGTAATGTAATTAACACACTTATGTGTGCTAACCATCGCTATGCTTGTTCATGCCTCCATAAATAATCATTATATCATTCTTCATTCATGGCAAAACGAACTATTTTGGTTAAAGAGTGAACCGTTGTGCGTTCCAGTAGCCCAATCAAGCTATTCCTAATTGACGAACCGTGCTTCAAGTTTAAATATGCAATGGCACATTCAAGTTAGGCGAATAATTCCTCATCTATCTATAATAAATTAGCCTCAATTGAGATTTTACTCACTAACGCCTTTGACCCATGATAAATTCGGCCGTGAATTGAAAGAGCATTGAAGAAGATGAGTCAGGGACTAGAGTTCTTGACCCAGCTTATAGTCAGTTTGAGAGTAAAACTAAACTCGACATAAATTTATATGGTCTAAAAACGTCCTAAGAAGACAATAAGGACAACCTAAGTAAAAATATAAGCTCTCCTAACAATGTTCTGCACACTATTTCTTTGCCGCTCATGCGCCGCCGTAGCTAGAAACACTGAACTTCGATTTTTTTAATATACAAGCAGCACAATTACGGCCCCTCCAGCTTTACAGGTGCGGCTGGCACGAGGCGTCGACACCGAATGATATCTCCAGCAATGGTGAAGTGCTCCTCCCGATCACAAGCCTTCTGGAGCCATAAAAGGGCCCGCGCACAATGGGGGACTGGCCTCGTCTGAGTCATGATCACTAGTGCCATCCTTGTTTTATTGATTGACATGATAAATTAGTTACACAAAAAAGATTCCTTGGTTTGAAAATTTACCCTGAATATATTCAATAACATTTTCTTCGCGCGTCTTTTTTGTTTTAAAACCAATGGCCAAGAAAGTAAGCCTCCCAGTGCTCCCTACACATTTCGTCTAAACTCTAAAGCATTCAATTGGGATGTCTCAGGCGGTGACTTTGAACAAATATATAAAATGGCAAATTCGGTTTGCATTTCATGTAGAGTACGTTTACTACGCCAATGAACAGTTTTAGTGTGATACAAAGTTTTGAACTCGGCTAAATTTACATTAACACGAGACGTCATTCAAGAAATATGTCAAAAAGAAGCAAAATGAAATTTTGCTAGCGAACGGCGTTATTTTCATGGTCAGAACGATTTAATGAAAACGGACAGTTATAAGCAACATCGTGATGAAACTTTGAAACAATTCCAAATTTTTTCGCCCACGTGCAGCCATTTCATGTAAACAGAATTTTCACGACGACGTCTCTACTAATAGCCTTCGAAACAAAATTATTCACTGACTAACTTCATCATAAAGTTCAATTGAAAAGTATTTCCTGACATGTTAACCATATTCCTGACGAGTCAACCAAAATTAAAGGCGGGTTCTACTTCACTGAAAACAATTTTGTTCTTTCGCTGTCAATTTTGCAAATAACAGCGATTCCATTCAATTTAGACAATTTTAATTGATTATTTCCAGGGCCACTATCCACCCAGATACAATAGACTCGTAGATATAAACATTTCAAAGGCGTCTACTATATACGTAGATTCTTTTGTCTGAGCTGACGCCTTCTTACTCGTGTAACAGGCAGACAGGCGATGTAAAAGGGAGACAGGCAGTGTAACAGACAGACAGGCCGTCATCGTAATTGGACGACTCATCAACGACTAAATGAACCCAGTTGTTGGTGGTGTCGGTGGTATCTTACATATCACGCACGCCCCACATTTGAGTTCGATACCAGATGCAAAAGTTTGCATCATTTTGTTTACAAAATAAATAAATATTCAAAGAAATGGACTTTTCTTTCATATTTTTATCGACATTTTCAACACCACAAAACAAGTAACATTGTACAGTACTATGTTGCAAGTGAGAATCATCGTGAGTATGAGATTAATAATATACGTTTAAAAATTACTTTTTAAAGACAACACTTCCAAAGAATCCAGTATCTCCAATCTTACAGATGTACAATGAATTTCTCATTTAATATTCGAATATTAAAAAAATTAATTTTTCAATTTTTTTAATATATAAATTTTTTTAATTTATAATTTTTTTTCAAAATTATTTATTCTATTAATTGATTCATGCATTGCCTCTGATTTCACACAAGTGTGCAAAATTTCAGATCAATTAGACAGGTAAAAGTGTGTCAAATATCAGTTATAATATTTGTAGCTGATAAAATTATTTTTAAAATTTTTTTAATATTGAAAAATTTTTTTTTTACTTTTTAAAATCATTTATTTTGACATTTGATTCATGCATTGCCTCCAACTTTACACAAGTGTGCAAAATTTCAGATCAATAGGATAAGTAGAAGTGTATTAAATTTCGATTACAAGATTTGTAGCAGATACACAGACAAACAGACAAGAAGTGAAGTTAAAGAGAAGTGTTGTAAAAATAACTTCTGTTGTTCAATTTACACCCTCCGCATGGAAATTCATTACAATGAAACTGCATTATTAAAATGTATAACATAACATAACATAACATAATGATGTCGGCGCTGAAATGTAGGCCTGATGTGGCCTGTCGCCGATTCTTTTCCTTTTCGTGCCTTGTTCATAGATCTAAACTCGTATCATTTGATCGGATCTTTTCATGACTGGCGATAGTTTGAAGAGCAACAGCCGCTCATGCGGAACACTGTCAAATGCTTTGGCAAAATCGAGGTACAATGCATCCACTGGCTCCCTTTCGTACAGCAGGCGAGTCCAAATTTTTTACTTTTAGATTTTACTTTTAGATAACAAATTTTTTACTTTTAGATCCAAATGTATTGTTTGTAATTTTTGCGTTTCTTTGATGTTTCAACATTTGTCAAGATAACAATTATTTTTAAATAAAACTTTCGCATTGATCCATATTTATTTTTTATTTCGCATGTGAATTTTTATATTAAAAGAATAAGTCACTTTCTAATAAATGAAAGAAATGATCTATTAGAGACAAAAAACTAAAATGGAACGTTGATTGAACGAACATGCGGGCGATATGACGTATAGCAACTTTCGCTACACTAACACTAGCACATGTAGTTAACAGGTACGGGTGTGCTATCTCACAACCTCGACCTACGATGCGCGAAAGGGGACGACTGAAATAACCCAGCATTGCCCAATACCAGCATAATTTTCATACTTCACCCCGTGCGCAAGCATGCTGCAGAGCAAATTAGCCAAAACCTAACCTAACCTAACCCCTTCGCGGTATCGCGGAAAGGTGGAGGGAATGGGGTAAGTGTGGAGGTAGAAGATGCTGGTGAGCGTTAGGGCTGGGCTTACGCCTGCGAAGTGGGTAAGGTGATGCGACAGTCCGGTGCGGGGCCGTTCCCATTTACGGCAGTCTGGTGCGGTCTGCGGACCCTGTGGCTTACGGCATTTGTAAGAAGTGATAGTATGGGCTTAAATAATTGGTGTAGGAGCTATTGGGCGTAATCCGTTTGTAGTATCAGTTTGTGGGATGAGGCATTGCTTGTTTCAAGCTGGTGTGGCGAGATGAGGCAAGTAAGAACAGCTGCATAGGTATTAGACTGACTATTTCTATTGCATGTAGAGGGTTGGCATTGGCTTTTGGGCTGATTTAAGAGTCAAATTTTTGGGCTACGGCAGCGCTCCCCGCGAAAGTAGTCCTAAGTCCCATTGTCCCAATAATGTGTGCATTTCATTTTTCTGGATAATTTACACGCAAGTTTAATGAAAACAAACAGTGCATACTGAAAATTTGCACTCGATTCGTTCTCACGAATTAGGGCAACATATGCTAATTTTTTTTAATAATTTGCCCAGACCGCAGGCTCAGACACAACATAAAATCTAAACATTTTGTCTGTTATTACGTGTTTCGAATTGCGCGCGAGAAACTCATCCGATTGATCATCTCTTGGAGCCGCCAGCCTGGGATTTTTCCACGCCACAAATATGCAAGCACGTTTCCATATTTTAGAGACACAAAAGATAACCGGTGATAAGGAGTTGAATAGGTCAAATTAATTCTTATACATGCATTTAGACTGAAGTAACACTCCGACATATTCCTCAATCTTCGGAATCCTCATCGTCTCAAGGAACACTGTTAAATTCCATCTAGTAATAGAATCAATCAATTACTTAACCTACCCACTGCAACTCTTTTGAACGCACATAGCACAATCATCCACAATGTGATCAGTATTGAACGAGCGTAACTAAACGAAAGGTGAGACCTTGCTGCACACGAAATTTCTCATGGACGACGCTCGGAAAAGAAAAGGCGGTGCCACTATTCGGTTAAAAAAAACTTCATCCCGCTAGCCAACAATGTTACGAAAGAGGTCCAGAATTATGAGTTGATAATAAACTGAAATAAATCACTCTGATTAACAACTTAATAAAGCTCGTTAGAAATATTTGAAAATGCGTTCGTAGAGCTGTGCCAGTGCTACTGACGTAAGTCATCACAACGCTGCTCTCGCGCGCCACTGCGCTTCGGATGCTGGCAGAGGCCGGTGGCGCAAAATAGTTCGTTCAGCATCCCCATTAATTGCAATTTATTTACTTATTATGATTCCTGACAATTTTTTTACACGTTTTTGAACCAAAATATACTTCTACTGTAGTATCTTCCCATTTTAAAGTCAGTAACTGGAGGCACCGACTTATTTAGACAAAATTCTCACAAATTTTCGTTTGTACTCCAAATTAATTAGTTTGGTTCACGGCGCGATATCATTTCACAGGCGGCACCTCCTCTCCTGTTTTCTCTTTCCACTGTCACTCCTGATAACGCTGCTGTGAGCAGAATCCAGCAACAGCGCCACATGAACATTGGAAGCTTGCGCTTTGATCTTCATGGCAAGGAAATATTGAAACATCTGCTGCTTTTCCGATAGAAGTTGTGCGCGGAGGATACCATTGTTTCGTAAAAAACTGATGCATTTAACCATTGATGGACTACCGTAGTGCACATGGATTATAAAATTCTGTCTGCAAGAGTAATATAGAACGGAGCAAAAGTTGACTTCTTTAATTGACTCTGTTATGGTGTTCACTCAAGGGTAATGGAATTCAATCTCAAAAGGTCCCCTTAATGAGATTTCGCATCAAATTTAGCTGAAACGCACCATGCTGAAAATTTTTAATTACGCGCAATCATACCTAGTGCGTCAGATACCAGCAAAAATCAAAATATTACATTCAAATTCATGGAAGCACGCCGGTCACGAATTTCGTAAAATTAGCATTTGATGCTCTTTAGCGTGAAGGATAATTCGATCAAAAGCGTCTGCAACAATGACAAGCGAGAATTATTTTAAAATGAAGTCAGATAATACTCGAATCAAACGTTCATCTTCGTACACAGATTTCCACAATCCAATTTCAATAAGGCACTTAGTATTTCGAACGAACAATTTCTGCGTTAATCTCTTAATAATCTAGATTTGACCATAAGCGTGAACATTGGCTTTTAACAAGGCCAAAGGTAGAGCATACAGAACATTGAATAAGAATTTCACTGTATCCTGCTTGTCCTAAACTAAGTGCTGGCAAAACGATGACTGCAACTTTCAGAGTTAATACGTGTATCTAAAACCGGAAACGACGAATTTCAAACGTGAAGACGCTGAGTATCGAACAAGAATTAGTAGTGCTAAAGGAAAGTTTAAGTCTGAACATAGTATAAAAATGTACTTTATTTGCAAGGAATGCCACGCAATGCGTGGTAATCATGATATTTATATATACATAATCTACTCAGTCATTATAATCAATATAAGACACGGATCAGGATTTTAGCTCACAGCATTTGGACAGAAACTCTTAAAGTCTATCAAAATGCCACTAACGCAGAACATATGAAATGAACGACCGCACCAATAAATAACGAAATCATAAGATGAGTTTAAGTACATAAATGATTTAGACCAGATACACAGAGCCCCAGTCCCTAGCACTGCAGTTCCTTCTTAAATTGAGTACCTACCTAAATTGGAAACTTGTCGGTCGTTAAACACTATGTGAATCTGCTAAGCAAATGCTTCGTAAACCAACTAAACGCCGCCTGACCTCTCAGTATGTTTTATTTCCTCCGATTACCTGACTTTTCCAATGGTAGTCAACGAATTAAAAACATGAAAACTTACATAGTTTATAAGACAATAACTAATAAATGCACAATTATTTACACTTGGTAAACGTAATAAAGATCGTGCGGGACAAATTAGAAAATAAACACCACCTATCACTAGGCAAACTAAGCGTCACGAGCTCAACATGAGCTTCTTCGTTCCGAGCAAAGCAAATTTCTGACCGTCCAACTCTAATACAATTGCATTAGAGGCAAAATCACGAGAGAAAATTACGGGAAAGTAGATATAAAACTTTCAGTTTAATTTGTATAAAATCATCGATAACCAAAAATAAACGAGCGAGCTATCGATGGTGGTTAGATTGTCACGGGGTTGCATAAAAAGTTACAGGAGATCTATCACTCTCTGAACAAGAGAGCAAGATATTGATAAACCAAAAAGAACGATAAACGAGATATTCGACCAATAACTCACTAGTTTAAATTCATCTAGTGTTAAAACAAAGAACGAAAAGAAATTTTTTCTACTGTCAATGAGAACGCAACTTATTTATTTGGTTTAGGCTGTCCATAAGTAATGAGAATAGTAGAAAGAATTCGATGAATACTGGTATCAAAGTGAGTAGGAAGCCGAGAAGAGCAGCGATCAGATATTAGGGAAGAAAGAAACGAAATACGATGCATTAGCTTGCTCCAATTCGGTGAAGTAAGGTCAGTGCTGCAAGTAAGCTGATGAAAAGAAGGCTATCAAAATATCCTCAACTGCGCTATTCATTTCATAACTCAGGTAGGAATAGCATCATGAATCGAAGAATGTGATCGCACGCTAGAATCGGCAGTGAATAGTTGTTAGAAATTACAGATAAGTAACACTAAAAATATGGGAAGTCAGATCGGCATATAGGTGAATATTATTACTGCCTATGAACCATCAGGACTTGGTGAACAGTACAGAAATTGGTATCATTCATAATATAAGCTACGAATAATTTGCAATAACCCTGCATAACTTGAAAGGTTATGAGACAAGGCACGAGCTAATCTATTCTCCGACCCATAAGAACATCCGAATGTCAAACTAAATTAAAAAATATAAAACAATTTCCGAAAGGATTATTTCAAATAAATTTTGTACAAGATTAAATAAATAATCAATCTACCATGCTAATTTAGGAATTGAATTTGACCACAAATGAGTGAAAACTTTAGTGAGGCAGAGAAGTAAGAAAAATTAGACGTCAAAAGTATGATCTCGAAGCAGAAGATGCTTTCCAACCTCTCATGGAATACTGAGAAGAACATGTTATGAAATAAACTAGCGTCGACTTCAGATCAAGATCAACTACTCTCCCGATCAACTATTTGAAATGGTTTTCAATTCAGATAATACTTTACAGAAGGTCTCAGTGGTTTGAGTCTCAGCCAAAAGTTCTTAGTCCCTATTTGAGTTTTTTTCAATGCAGGTAACGATTTTTGAAGGTAATGGGTCTGTCACAGCATCATAACATACTAAAAAAAAATTAAATGTTAAACATTTTCGAAATTACCCAGTATTTGAAAGATATTTTGATATTATGATATCAGTTAGTACCTAACGCATCAACAGACCAGTGACAATATAAGTCCCAAAACCAATTGATCAAGAAGTAAGGGAATAATCACTCAACGCGAAATTCCCCATTATTCACCAGTGTTGAAAGTAGGACACGAGTGCAAATGAAGCTAACGGAACAAATTATTCTGAAGACATAGAGCAAACTTCTCTATTATTGGATTTGCTAGGCCGAGGCAGTCCACACCATCATAAAAACATAAAAAAAGATTCTTGAAGAGCTGATCAGGCCTCAGCCTTGTGCACAGGACTAGAGCTGCACGAGGCTGATGGCCTCCTCCTAGCTTGTGTAGATAACGAACTGCTGGTCTTCAGGTGAAGGCATTTCTACCTGCACGTATTGCTGCGTCTGCGAGGGTAGATTGTATTCGGTCTCGTATTGAGGGGTGGTGTCAGCCCCTGAATTGTTATTGTTTGCCCTCATGTTGTTTCTGAAAAAAATTATAAATATAATTTTTTCCAACATTTATGAATGACCTTAATAAAAACGCCATGGAACTTTTAGCACAAAACAAATCACAAGTCAATTTCTACTTTTGTGCATTAATCATCAAACTTGAGAAATATTAAAAAAGCGGACCTTTTAAACTAGCTCAATAGACACCTGGGGCCCATACTTTCAAAAAAAAGTTAAGAGATCGTAAGTTCATCAGCCAATCATTGACGGCCTTTCAAGCCACTCTTTTAAAAACAGTTAAGAGATCGTAAGTTCATCAGCCAATCATTGACGGCCTTTCAAGCAAAATCCACCAATAATAGACAAGAAAATTGAGCGTAAGTACTTACGTTCACTTAGCGAGTTTTGAAAGTATGGCCCCAGATACAGAAACACTTACTTTGCCTTAGCGTGTGTGAGGATGTGAGACTTAAGATTTGTACTTTGTGCAAATTTCTTGTTGCAGCCATCAAAAGGACACACGTACGGCCGGTCGCCAGTGTGGATCCGAACGTGCGTGCGTAAATTGAAGTCCAAAGAGAACCTCTTGCCACATCCTTCGAATGTGCACTGTAAGGTAAATTAATTGGACATAATAATTATTTTGTAAGTGGAGTAAGGTAATTAAATGGATAGGAAACGGAAAAAGATTCATAAAAAAAACAGAGAACAAAATTTTTATTAAAAAGATTTCAAAGTTCTAGATAAATCATGATCATAGAAATTAATAAAATAACATTGGCTTACGAAAGCCTTACTTTAATTAATAATAACAATAAATAATTAAGATATTCAATAGAAGTCAAGAACTTTATCTACGGTAGTCAGGAAGTCTCCATTAAAAGAATCTTAACCGTTCTGTTCATTCAAAATTTAAATGAGTCTGCAAAAAATCCAGGCAATTCTCAGAACAATAAAATCATACATGAATCAAAAAGGAAACCAGACAGAATGTGTTGAGCAATTACTTTACTATAATTACTACAACTACTTTGATCACTATAAATAAAAAACAAGAAAAATATTTTGATGCACTATTTAATAAACATATATGGCCAAATTTTGGCAACATACAAATTCAAGTAGAAGAACTCACTTGGAAGGGTTTCTCTCCTGTGTGAACAAGTTGATGACGCTTTAGTTTAGAGGACTCAACAAATGCCTTGCCACACTCCGCACATACATGGACACGGGGGCCATGAGTGTGGAGGTGTTTCCTCATTGCACTGTTGTCACGGAACATTTTACTGCAGCCCTGAAAAAATAAATTCTAATCAAGACAAGATTTATACCTGCAGTAAAATTAAAAAAATCATTCATGATTATATTCACAGGCATAAATTCTCTTTTGCAAAACTGTCTGAACAGATGAGATAGTAAGACTTCTATATTTGAAAGAAATTAGGTTTCAAAGCAAGGCTTTTCTACACATTTAAATGAATAGGTACATACCGGTAGAGCATAAGATGCAGGATAATGAAGTAAAATTACCAAAATAAAATAGTCAGTGAGCAATGGTGAATAGGTATATATTATTCTAAGTACCTATATACCTATATACATGTAACAAGTTAGTCATGGTTCAACTCTTTTTTTTTCATTCTTTGATAAAGAAACAAGATTGAGATATAGCATAATGAAAAATGTCAATGATGGGCAAAGAAAAGCCTACACAAAGTGCCTATGCCTAATAAGGTTTAAACAAAAGTTAGGCAAAAGTTAAACAAAATTCTAGCCCACTGCAAGATGAAATGGTTACCCATCACTAGTCAGAATACAAATGGGAATTAGACATTTGTTATATCAATTTTTCAGCACACCAATTGCATTTCTCCCAAAAATGTTGTCCTACATTCATAATAATAATCAGTGATAGTGTCCATTAGTGTTTTTAAAAATTTGTAGTAATTTCATGAGATAAACTGGCAAAAAACATGAGATAACTCCATATAAGACCAGAGAACTCTACTTACCTTGTGCGGACAGGCAATAGTTCTTGCTACATCTGCAATTGGACTTTTCTTTGGTTTGATTTTAGCAAATTCTGCAAGTTGTTTTGGGTCACTGAGGTCAACATCAGGGACTCCACCAGCACCCAGCTTGCGGCTGGACCCAGCCATATACTCCGCATAGTCAGGATCAGGTTCTGGATTGCTCAACTCATCTGCACAGGTTAAAATTGAATTTAAACCTTATTAGGCATATAAATTTGCACCAAGAATAAATCAAATGTATAGTATGCTACAAATCACAATTACTATGAATTCAATTACAAAAATAAGTAAAAAGCAAGAAAAAAAAGATTATATATATATATCTATATATATTAGTTTTGGATGGCAGAATTTGTTGATTTATACGCGTGCAATTAATGACCAGAGAATTCGTTTATTTAAATTATCAATGAGTCGGACAATTTTTCAGATGACGTTGGTAGATCGAAAGGCATATATCAGGAAGTAGTTTTAGTTTGTTAATGACGTTTCAAATGTAACAAACATCCATTTTACAACACTTCTCTTTAACTTCACTTCTTGTTTGTCTGTCTGCTACATATCTTATAATTGATATTTAACATACTTCTACCTGTCCAATCGCTCTGAAATTTTGCACACTTGCGTGAAGTTGGAGACAATGCATGAATCAATTGACAGAATAAATAATTTTATAAATTAAAAAAAAATTTCATATTAAAAAAATAAAAATAATTTCATCTGCTACAAATCTTATAATCCATATATGACACAATTTGACCTGTCCAATTGATCTGAAATTTTGCATAATTGCATAAAGTCAGAGACAATGCATGAATCAATTGACGGAATAAATAATTTTGAAAATTTACAAAATTTTGATGTCTTAAAAAATTTGTGAAAAATAATTTTTTTTTAAATTTGAAAATAAAATTAGAAATTCATTGTACATGTGTAACATCCAAGACACTGGATTGTTCAGAAGTGTTGTCTTTAAAAAGTAATTTTTAAACGCATATTATTCAAGTTACAAAGAGCATTAAATATTGAAATTCTGGTGGAAATAAGTACATAATATACGTAAATAGGATACTACAGTAAAATTTTGAATCAGAAAATCACTCTGAAAACCATTTCAAGGTTCAGCCAAATCAGGCAGTTAAGAAAGAGATAGCAGGCATCCAATGCGTAGAGACGATGAGGCTAGCCATCTTCGGTCGATTGATGTCAGGCCACTGCTTGATGACAATGCTGGTGGGTTCCTTCAGCACAAAGTGAGTGACGGTTTGGTTGCGAGATTGTTGCGTGTGGTTCACTTGCCCTCCGGGTTGGAGGTAGCTAATAAGATAGCATCTCTGTGTCCTGGTTGTTGATCCAAAGTGTCGCTTCTTTGTAATACTTTACTTTACTTTACTTTAATCGCTTCTTTGTAATACTTTGAGACCTGGTCTGGTTGTGAGCTTGTCTCAGATGGTGGGAGAAATGGTAGTTCAATGTCGTAGTCATTACTGCAATTACCCAAATGCAATCCAAATAATGAAGAAATCTACAACCTTCTTTGAAGCAAAATTTACAGACTACACCAGCCTCTTGAAGAACTTCCACTTTTTTGCATTTGACATTGCTTGGTATGGTCCAGGGTTTGACGTTGTTGTCAAGGTTGTTGCGGAGCCAGTTTAATTCATAGATGATCTTGAGATGAAATTGCTCGATTGTAATACTCTGAGACCGTTTCAGATACTTTTCTGAGTCTCTAGTTTTCATATTTTTACCTCACTGCTGATTTTTCTAGCAATTGGTTTAGTTCTGTGTCTCACAGTAATCATTTTCTCTCCTGCTGCCGGGTCTTTATTGCAAAAATTAGTTTTGGATGGCAGAATTTGTTGATTTATACGCGTGCGATTAACGACCAGAGAATTCATTTATTTAAATTATCAATGAGTCAGACAATTTTTCAGATGACGTTGGTAGATCGAAAGGCATATATCAGGAAGTAGTTTTAGTTTATTAACGACGTTTCAAATGTAATATATATATATATATATATATAACATTTTATATATATATATATCTCAAATTTTATTTTAGACAAATCCGGTAGCTATATATATATATATATATATATATATAAATTACAAGTTAAAGTAAACCCAAAACTTTAATGAACTTCAAATGAATATGTTTGTTTTGTAAATTTTTGTATCAAAAACCCTCTTAAGCAAAAAGTAAAATCAATTCAATGCTCTGTCATCCGGGTAATTCATTTGATCAAGTCTAGAACTGCACAAAATAATGTAACAGCATAGAAACAAATTCATTCACATTTGTTTGAAGCTTTAATTGACATAGCCATGATAAGCAATGAAGGAGTCTTACATTTCAAAATAGAAATTGAAATCAAAAACATAAAAGCTTAGCATGGTATCCTGGAAATAATCATCTACGGTAGTTAGTACGTAGACTAGTAGTTATTAATTATTTGATTAAATATTATGATCAATTATGACTTTGATATTAAAAGAAATTATTATTATTCTCATTCTACAAAGCAATTATCCTGGCGTCTGGTTAAAACAAACTTCGAGATCGAAGGGACGTTACACTTAACTTTAATGGCAAGCGAAAATAAATGATTAAATCACGTTGGTACCGTACGCTTTGCGCGAGCGTGACCGACCTATCATTAAATTATGACCCTAGGCCTAGAACAAACTGTTTTAACTTTTAAGTACTGAAAAGAATTTATTTTGAACCTGGGCCTGTGGACAGAATTTAACGTCTTTTTTTTTAAATAAACAGTTCTTCTCAATTCTCCTTGCCAATTCAGTTAGCCCTCTAATCCGAATTTTTCTTATTAGTTCGGAATTAGAAAACGAAAATATTCTTTAGTTGCAATCCACACATCTAAACTCGAATAAATTTCCAAAATGAATAACAAGATCAAATCTTACGTGGACAATAACTATTTGGGTTCTTAATCGCAAAAATTATCATAAGGTTTGAAAAAAATTTGTGAATTAACTAATTGGACGCTGTTATCGTGACACAATAACGTCCCTTGCTGCTCAATGGCCGCCATGTTTTCAGGACAGCAGCCATATTTGAAACATGGCTGCGCCCAGACATTTCAATGGCGGCACACCAAAACAATAACAAACAAGTCGGCCTCAGTGCCAATCTTCGCGAAATCTCAACAACGTGAAAAATTCTACGTCACTTAGATTATTAAATCAATATAACAGCTCACTGAAAGTAACCGACTTACATTTAGAGCACAAATTTGCAGATTAACGAAATAATACACGTAGGTATATCAAAAGTATAAAACATGCAATAATATTTATCAAGTCCATGGAGCATTAAGCTAAGGTAATGATTAGGAAAAATTCTGAAATTTTATGGTTCAAACTTACCATCATCTACACCAGATGACCACATGGTAACGGAAAACTCTCCTTCCAAGGTCTTGATTTGAACTTGTTTCTGTTCCCAACGTTGTCCAATAATCATAGTCGGACTCCCATCATCATCTCGCCTTCTTTTATTAGGTTTTCTACCAGATCTTTTAGACGTGCCGGGCAAAGATTCAATAGTTAAATCACTGTCCATTTGTATGGGTAAAACTTGTTGGTAAGGAATTTCTTGTTCACCGCCAACTTCCTGGGAGTGAAAAACAATTTCTTCTCTGCCTGGTTCAGGTAATTGTTGAAACGATATTACTTGTCCACCATACGACTCCATTGCTTCAACTGGTATATCGACCGGCATTGCATCGATTTCAACTTCTTGTATCTCGGGTTGAATTCCAACTTCTGTCACAACGTCAGACGATGCCATATCATGCTCACGCGAGAGCTTGGCTCACACTGACCATACGCCGCCATTATCTTCAGGCGCCGACCTCTAAACTTTAGCGGCAATATCACCAGCAGTTGGAAATGAAACGAAAAGGTACGTTTTTAAACGACTTCATGTTGATATAAATATCTATACAAAAAACTAACACCAGTACAGAATTAAAAATGTTCGCTGTAATTATAATGGGAATCGAAATTTAATGAGGTGAACCTAGTCAAATGGAATTTTCTATGAATTTGTTTAAAATAAAACATTACCGTAAATTTATGTTGATGTAATAAGTTATTATTTCGTGAAAGTTAGCATTAAAACAGATATCATATACAATACTTCACACTAAATTTCTATCGTTTAATGAAGTGTGTTGCGTTCTTATCACATGAAGACGAAAAATTATCAAAAGGTTGATCCTCTAGAACGATATTTCTCAACTATTTTGTCCGGCTTTAACAGCCTTTAAATGATTTGACGATATTGTGCTCTTTAATCTCATACACGGTCATAAACTAAAAAATTATTTTCAGTTTTGATAGCTTACGAGACGGTTGACGAGAAAGGCCGCAGGACGAGCAGAGACACTTAAATCGAACTTCAGGTACCACAATTTCTGAACTATAGCGCAGTGATTTCCTCATAACTGAGTACTAGACTTACAAATTATGAGTTAGTTACAGGTCAGCAACATTATACGAGAACAACACGAAATTAGCTAGCTTACACTTGTAAGATCCTGCATCTTTTCTAAGGAAAAATCAGTTATTAAAATTACAAAAACTATCGCCTTGGTTTCAAACTTTAGGCATAGATAATAATTGTGATAGCGTGTCGTGAGGGTGCTTAAGACATCGCTCGTCTAGCGTGTCGAATGCACTATATATTAATATAGAATCTAACTCTTTCATTCAATACCATTTGGTGTTAGGGGGAAAAAGTATGTAAATGGGTAATGCACATAACACAAAAACTGAAATAGGATTAACAATAACCGATTACATGCTAATCTATGCTTGAAATGACCTCTACTTTGACTCAAATCGCAAATTTATAATTTCGTGCTTTGATTTTTATAATGGGCAGATTTGTCTAAGATAATGCAAATTTATGACAGATTTAATCGTTAATTCATTCTTGGATTATCCGGATCCAGTTTAATGAGAGTTGTGTTGATATTGTATAACGTGTGGCCTGGAGGGAATGTCTCCACGCATCCGAGAACTGTTCATAAATATATTTTTTATGTAAGCAAATAAATATAATAAATGATGCATAGACAAACTAATAATCGAAGACAAGCTGCGTAATTGATTGTTCGAAATCAATCAGTAATTAGATTGAATCAACAAATTGATCTACGCGTCGAAGAGCTGATGTTGTGACTCTGGGGCGTCGAGCAGCTTGACGAGACCGAGCGTTGCCTCTTCGCCGTCCTGCAGCCGCAGGATGGGCGACTCGGGCGTGTGGCTCTGCACGCGCACCACGGAGTTCTGCACGAGTTGTTAGAGTATTTGATTATAAATATTACTAGTGATGAATGCAACAGTATGCATTGCGATAAATAATTGCTTCTTCACAGGACAATTGAATCACTCGCGCACCACAAACTTCGGCACTTTAAATCAATCGATTTGTGATCATAAATACTGAAAATCGTGATACTTATATCACGACTGACGTGCACCACCATCACGTCACCTCACCAGGTGATACCATCATCGCACGACAGACATGCAGTACCATGACGTCACCTCACCAGGTGATACCATCATCGCACGACTGACATGCAGTACCATGACGTCACCTCACCAGGTGATACCATCATCGCACGACTGACATGCACCACCATCACGTCACCTTGGGCAAGTAGGTGACGACGGACGTGTAGCAGCTAGAAGTGTAGGCGTCGCTGACGTGCGAGCACGAGGCTTCCGCGCGGTTGTTCACTTTAATGTCGAAGCCCGCGGCGCGGTTGATGATGGCGAATTTGACCTGCCGCAACGTGATATTCGTTAGTAGTTATAATAGCTCACTGTGGTCAGTATTACAATGTTTCTATAAATAATATTCGATTCCAATAATAAATTTTTTTATCAGTTATATTTATGTGAAGAATGATATTTTGGAAGCATTTAGTCTCTTGATTGATCAATAAACCAGTGAAAATTCTAATGAAAGCATTGCTAAGGTTACGGAGCGCGCTTCTGTAACACAGTATCGACGTTTATTCGTAATACAATTTATAGATTATGTGATGTTCAAAATAATTTTTTTATCGAGCCTCTGCTAAACTATATTTGTTATTTGAGTAAAGAAAAACTGTTTTGTTGATTCAATAATTTATTACATTGAGGCTTCGATGAATATCAGCTAATAATCAGTTCCATAGATCACAGTCTCTTACACAACAGGGGATTGTTGATCAAGGATATATTCACCGTTCTTGAATAACCTCGTTAGGTCTCTTTCGATACGATTTTCAAATAATTTTCAAATAATTTTCAAATAATTCATACATATTTTTTCAATTAGTATAATACGGTATTCTTGACAGAGAAAAATAATAACACACGAAAGTAAAAATTTCGCTATTTTTCAGTGAAATAATCTCAAGATGAGTACGTAGGACCAGATATTTCAGGGAAGCAGTCACTAAAATTGTGGTCGTTGCTTGGTAATTCTTGAAAAATTAAAAGTAGGCCTTAAAGACCGACTAGAATATTCATCCAATTAAGAATCGACAAGAAATATAGGATATGACAAATGAAGCATGAAAACAAACGAACTCATACTTGCGCGTAAAGAAGATAAACGCCAGACTCGGCGACAGTGACGTGATCGCCGCCAGTCTTGTAGCGCGAGGTCAGCCCCAGACCCTCCATCCACTCGGCCGCTTCCCACACGCCGTCTCCTCCTACGTCATCAAAACAGCATTACTATACTGCAGAATAGAAACTTGTTTGATATTATGGGCCCTACTTATTGAAACATCGCAAAAAATCTTCGTTTGTCAACGAAATTGGAGTTTTCATCTTCTATTTTAACCATATGTCATACTTTTAAAATACCAAATACAAGGATCTTACCAGCAGCATCAGGTCGTCCGTTGAAGTGTGCAGCGGTGGAGCGCGAAGCGTGGCGACGGCGCTGGGAGTTCTTCTTGCGAGGCCGCTTGTGCGGTCCAACGAGACGGCGTTGGGGCTGTGGGGGTCACGAGTATTACATGATGGCTTTGGGGGAGTGTAAGTAGAGGGTGAGTGACATGATTGACACTGCGACAGAAGGAGACAACGAACTATATGGGATGCGTGAAACATGAGTAAGATGATGACACTTGGGCAAGCAAAGTAGTGGATTAATGATACGATTGAGACTGCGAGACAAGGAGACAACGGTTAATAAGATGCATGAAACATAAGTGAAATTATGAGACTTGGGGCAGCATAAGTAGTGGATTAATGGCGCGATTGCGAGTGCGAGGAAATGAGACAACGATTATGGGATACTTGAGACACGAGTGAGACGTAAAACATTCAAGTTAGTAAAGTAGAGGATTGTTTTGACATTATCAAGGATATTTGACTAGAAGACAACAATTATGGGATGAGACCCGAGTATAGGATGGCATGGATCTGCGTCCCAGATGCGACATGGGTCCGAAGTCAGCATGAAGAAGTATTCAAGTGACATATATGTTGAAGATGTGTTTGGATTCGTGCTTAAATTACAGTGAATGTCAGTGAATCTAAGTTCATACAAGGCAAGTTAAAGAAAAATGCAAAATAAGTCGGGGACTCCAATTACGAATCCAAATTCCACTGAAATAAGTCATCAAGCATTATCTCGAAAAATCTTTGAACAATTTGAATGACTTAATATGTATAAACGTACGCTTAAACGTCAATGATTTAAGAGAATCACGAATTTATTTGTACTGACCTGAGAGACAAAGACGGGCTTCGAGGCAGCCTGCGTCAGGTAGGCAGGGCTCGCGGTGCTCTGCTTTACTTTAGCTACTGCTGCATCCCAGACGTCGTCCCCGGGAGTGTTCTGATCAAACATTTATTCACTTTATTCACTTTTTCATGCATGCAGTTAGTTTGGGAGCATAAACTATTTAAACTATAATAATATATTTTTTAATTTGTCAGAGAATTCACTCCCCGGTATTTTGTGAATGATGGCAACATTAAAAAAATCATCACTTTATTAACCATCTGGCATGCGCAGCAGTCCAACGAAAACAAATAGTTGTTCTTCCTTAGGCGTATTTCTTTATTGCTTTGTATTGTTTTGCTGATTTTAAATGATCTCTTAGAAAATAAGTCTAAGATGGTAATAAATTGCTTCTAGCTCATCCATGTGGACATCAAATCATATCAGCCGTGCAAGTGAGAACGTGTGAAGCACGCGATCAACGAGTGTCATTCGGCCAGCAAATAAGGAGTAGGGACGGGACGATGTTTGGCTAACGCGCCTTTGTGAGGGCAACCCAAAAACCAGTTGATTAATTAAAAGTTGTTTCTCAGCACGCGAGAACAGTGCGAGAAATTTGGACGCGAAAATGTACGTGTACTCTTTTCCTTATTCAGCGACTCTACTACAGCACAGTCACCTGTAGATCTTGAAGAACAAAGACAGCCAGAAAAAAATTTCTTTATACGAGAAAGAATGAGGAAGTCTTGAAGATATTGCATGTCAGATTAACATGGTCCCTCCGCAAGAATGACTTGCAAAATCGTGGAGCATTTCAAACTTTTTCTCTTACAAAAAAAATGTGATTTTCTTCGCTTCTGAGCTCTTGATCGTGAACAATGTATAAGGCGGTACACATGACTGCTTTCGTATGTATACCTAAGATAAATTGACTGCTGCAACGAATCGCAATAATCTTTGGAAAATATGTCATGAAATACATATGTAAAATCTTGGTGACCGTTTTTTTATCCCTTACCTTGAGCGTATTAGACATCATGCACCATGATGCAGATTGATAAAATTTCTTGGAAGTTTGTCCTCATATAACCTTGGTTACATTTGCACCTTGTGAAGACAAAATATTACCCGGCCTCCACCAGCAATAGCGGAGGTAGGTTTCGCTATTAGACCGTATATGATGTTTATCCAATGGTTATATATATACCGCCTTGTTAAGGTTAGTCTTCTTTTGAGGAGGCCGAGCTCACCTTGTAAAGGGACTCTCTGTACAGGACGTCATCATTTTTCACAAGCCCACCGATGGGAGTGGGATTTTCATGTCGAATGAGGCTCTGATGGCGCGAGTTGGAGGCAGAAGTTAGTTAGAAGTAAAGACAGTTCAATGGTAGCAGATTCTACAAAATAATTATGAAGCCATACATACAGCTTCTCAAGGAAACTGACACCTTTTAAGCTAAAATTTGAAATAAAATAAAAAGCTGACATGAATTATTTTTGAGAATCTAGCTGCCATATACCAGACCGGCAAATATCAGTCAAATACACAACAAAGTAAAGTGAATTTAGAGCTCATTCTCGGCAGAGCCGATGCGCTTACGGTAAAACTTGACCTTTATCTGCTAATACTGCCTGTGAAGTTAACTTTCTTTCATAAAATTTTTCGTTTCATTGATGCTCTATCACATGTATGAGTGAATGAAATTGATAACTTTTTAGTGACAGATAATCGGCGTATACGTTGCGTGGATGAGTAACGAGGTTAAGTTACTTTTCAAAGTTTAGGGAGATATAATCAGTGCAACAAAGTTTCAAATGTTAAATTTGCGAAAAAATAAAAAAAAATTCAAATTGATTGAACGCTGAAATAATTTATGCACGATTAACGTTGGGCTGACTGTAAAGACTGCATTTATTAGCAAATGAACTAAATTTATAAAGCTTTTTATAACGAATTCGAAATTTTGATGATCATATATAAAGTTCATTCCCTGCATTGAATTCCAAGTAACTTTAAATATAGGATAAAAATGCTGAATCTGGATGTGTTAAGCAACCATTATAAGTATTTTTTCTAATCGACTAAGATCCCAAGTTTAAAAATAGACGAATTACTTTCGTCGAATAAATTTTTACAGCCAGATATTGAATCAACCAGAGAAAAGGGAAGTTCATGGCTGGGATCAATTAAAACATACAGTACAAACAGGCCCAGAGATAATTAATTATTTAATTTTTAATAATTTTGCTATGTAAGCCACAGACGATGAGAACAACCTGACGGTAAGCTATTTCAGAGGGCAAGTGGCAATTTGGAAGTTGAGAGATTTCTTGGGAGATAATGATAAGATAATGGCTGGAAAAATTGTTCTTCGATCCTGACATAATAAAGTTCAGTCGCTCGAACCAAGAACTCAAAAAACAGATGCCAAGCATTAGTGGTTTTCCAGTCGAATAGAAGAACCAGTTGGAGATAAGGATGAACAATGCTATAAGGGAGATCATGTTCAGACGATTTCACTGGATAATCCAATATTGTCCTATGAATAATCTGGACTGATAAATCTTAAACAAATACCAAGAAACTTATTGCACCATTTTCTACAAAGCAGCACACGAGTGATATGCGTAAAAAATAAATTAAAATAAGAAATTAAATATAGACAGCTACACAAAGAACCTGGTGTAGTTATAAAAGTATTTACAGCATGAATAAGTAAAAGCAAGAACGTTGATTAGGTATATACACACGAGTAGTTCGATGTTAATTGACAATGTAATAAATATCAACGTCAAACAGTACCTGGTCGAGTCTTTGGCGTTCAGTGGCTTCCTTATAAACTTGATCCTCAGGCTAAAAACAGTTAAATCGGTCCCTGAAAAAGCTGTATACCTATAGGCTTGAATTTAATTGTGTTCAGTGACATCGCTTTCTCTCGATGCATGAAACAAAGTGGCCAATGCTCTTCATCAAACTAATTGTAACATAAGGATGAAATATTGAAATTTGCTGATGCAAATATCGCGAAGTGGAAAATAAGCTACCAATAAGATTTTGCAGGTCGAAATCAAACCTTGACTTGAGGACGCTGACCACGTCGGCGCCTGATACCGTCTCCGCTCTTGAGGAAGGACGCAGGAGGCGGCCGCAGGACTCTGAGGTACAGAGTGGTGAAAGATAAGAATAGCAGGTAAAAAGCTTTTATTATGAAAAATATAACTCAGTACTCACTGCAGTGAGTGATAGAGCGCGCATTTTCTCGTCGACGAAAACTTGAGGTCACGGACGGACGGACAGACAGACGAACATGGCGAGCACAATAGTGCATTTTTTACATAAATGAGAAAATGCGCTAAAAACACACGAAAAAAACTGCTAAACCTCACATAAACCTACTAGGCAGGTTGCATATTGAGTCGGTAAGCCCTGTTACAGGAAAAGTTTCATGATTATATATACTTGCTGACAACACGAGAATAGGCAAGCGATATGAATGCACGGATATTCGGAGAAAGTGCGTATCTAGCGCACAAGAACAAAAATTTGTGGAAATGAAAAGTTCGATAAATTGTGAACTGCATAAACAAAATTTATGGGGTCGTACTTTAGTCAATGTTTTTGAGTATATAACTCCGTCAGCCAATTACTGACTGCTTTTAAAGCCAAACCCACCAATCACAGACGAGAAATCGGCCTCTACGTATACTCAGACCGAAATCATGTCCTTAAGTGAGTTTTAGCCCCAGAACATTGAATATGAGAACTTAAGCTACGCGCTTGATGGGTCAAAGTTTGTTAAAAAGAGCTGGAAATGATTAAGTAGAGAGTTGATTAAATAATTGCATTTAGCTAATAATGAATAAATATGTTAGCAGTGCCAGTACTTAAAATGGAATTTAAACCTCAACCAATAAAATTAACATTGAAACGGGTTCACAACTTACGCTATTCACCACAAATACTGGGCTCAATTGAAGATCTCGGTGCTACAAATCTAAACCTGAACTAAACTTACGTTATTCCCCACAACCACTGAGCTCCAACAAATATTTTGAAGCTTGAAATGTAAACCTGGATCAAACTTACGATATTCATCACAAATAGTAAGCTAGAAAAAATATATTGGTGCTTTAAATCTAACCCTGGGCGCAAGCTACGTTATTCACCACAATTCCTGAGTCATCGCTGCCTTACCTAACTTCATCAGAGTCTGGCTTTTCTAGAGGCGCGTCGATCGAGTTAGCGTCATCGGGGATGGACTGCAGGGTGCTGTACAGCTTTAGTCCGTCGCCGTTCTTCTGCACACACAAGGCACAAACATTACTTTAACTTTCATAACCATGCTTAAAATTATAGCGTAGGCAAGAACTTATTCAGAATCAAAAGCCGAGATATGGACATTGAAACATGAGTGCGGCAGCGAAATCATACTAACCTATAAATTGGCTTTCAAAGTGAGCGTGAACAAATCCGCTCTTGAATTATTAAAAATTCTGAAACTTTAATTAACTATATCCGCAGCATATATAACTTACTTTGGTAGTTCAGAGTAAAGATTGAGGCATGAGTCGTATTCAATCTACACGCATTACCCGCACTTGTAAGAGTAACCGAACCTGCATATTGCTCAGGTCGCCTTATGCTAGGCAGGTTCACAAGATACTACTCGTCATTCCAAGCTCCTTGTTTGTGTAAATAAATTAAAGAATTTCAAACTGAATGCACTTAACTGAGACAGATGCTACATATTGTTTTCAATTACTAATTAGTTCAAATTTACGATATAATCGGTTCCGCAAGTAGCTCGTTATTTTCCTCACACGTGGCAGTTCTCGCTTCTTTTGTAGCGATTAACCTTGGGTTGAGGGAAGAAGAACCGCCAATATCAACAGTACGTTTTTTCATATCAATGTAACATGACTTCAGTTCTCTATTCGTGTTATTAATTGATGCCGAAACACGAGAGAATTGTATTCACGTTCCGGGCGTTCGTTTGAGGCGAGCGTGAACGCGCAGTGCATCTCCTCTCAAGGTCAAGGTCACAGGCACCTACTGGAAGTCTACGAGGATCGTCCGTAGATTAAAGCCAAGTTGACGCTACCCTTTAAAGGGCATTCAATACAATTCAAACGAGGATCTTGACTGGTACGCAGGTCTAATTATATATTTTCATCAGCTTGCAACATGACTACGTTTGCCTGAGGGTTACATCTTATAATTTTGAGTATCTTACCCTATGAAAAAGCTGATCATTTTTCTAATAATTAAAAGATGGAAAAAACATGAAACTTTGTTCCTCGGAACTTCATTTACAATTCATGAATACAGACAATAACAAGAAATGAAAGTTTGCTCGCTCATGCAGTTAGCAGTCCAACTGAAGCCTGAGTGCCCATTCATCATTTTTGATTCCCCTCTACATGAATAGTTTTAACTTAAAATTTAAAAAATTACATCAATTCAAAACCCAGTATAGTGCAAAGCAAATGTCTTGAGAGCACATAAAAATATGAGAGCCATGTTTCGCATTTGCCTGTTACTTTTGGCTACACTAAGTTTCTCAAAGTCAGATATTTGTTTCAGCCTGAGCCATACATTTTGCCAGGTATAGTTTTATATAAACTTTGAGCGTACATTGTTTTCAGAAGGCCGTTATGAAAATTCACAGAAATTTCATTATTACAGCGAACAATAAAATGAATTCAGTCAAACATAAAACGCAATACTGAAAGCGCTGCAGTTAGAAACTTCTAGGCATTACCTATGCATTTCATTTATTACCAATCGTAAACGTACAACCGACATGTTAGTCTTAAAAAGACACAAGTAAATATTGGATTCATTAAACTACTTAACGCACTCGTGCAGAGTGTAGCTGCCCCTAAATTATTTTTAAAACCATATTTATAGAGTAAATTTAGATAATAAATTCGGTAAGATAACAGGGTTATTTATTTCTTGTCGGGTTATTTGTCGTATTTATTTAAGTATAAATTCAGAATGAATAATTTATACACGAATGGAAAGAATAGATTTTTTCCATATTTATAAATGTTGAATATGTCCCCCTTGTGCTGCACGGCAAACATATAAACGGTAGCCAAACTCGTCCCACACACGAGAAAGCAGATCTTCTGTTACTGAGTGCACCGTAGCAGTGATACGGTTCTTCAGATCAACCAGAGTTGCTGGTACAGGCGGGACTTAAACAGAGTTGCTGGTAGAGGCGGGACGTAAACAGAGTTGCTGGTAGAGGCGGGACGTAAACAGAGTTGCTGGTAGAGGCGGCACGTAAACAGAGTTGCTGGTAGAGGCGGGACGTAAACAGAGTTGCTGGTAGAGGCGGGACGTAAACAGAGTTGCTGGTAGAGGCGGGACGTGAACAGCTTCCTTAACGTAACCATATAAGAAATAGTCACATGGGGGTGAGATCAGGACATCTCGGTGGCCAGATTAGGTCCATCATTTAGATTTTAGAATAACCCGGTATATGAACTTACTCTGACTGGGTCTTCTCATTCGGCTGTGTGCTTGCTTATCACGAGTTTGACAAAAATAAATGAATATGAGCGCAAAATAGTGTCAAAATTCATTAATTTCCATTAAATTCATCTCTACGTGCCTGTTCATTTGATGAATAAATCGACTTCAAATTACACGTATAACGGAGCGATTGTGTGTAAAATAATATGTTACGAGAGCAGAATCGAAAGTTTATTAGTGTCAGAATATTGCATGTCCATTGCCCATTTAAGAGAAGAGCTACAAACGACAGCATTCACGTAGGAATAGCACTATAGAAGCGAGCACCAATTCATCCAAACAGGCTCGGGAATTACAGAGCAGAGAAATGCTAAGGCACGGACACCACGGTAGGTTAGGCGCGCACGTCAGGCTGCTATTACACTGAACTTATCACGTCTATAATAAGACGCGCGACTGCGCCCTAGCAACTCCACTCTCAACCGGGACTTATTCAGGATTAAAAATACTGAACTTTAGTGGGAAAAATTACAACTTTTTTGTGGATAAATTAAATTTTCAGATATCTTATAAAGTTTGGAAATGTTCGAAAGATTCATCGGAACCAATTATAAGGGGAGAAACTTGGTACTTATAATTAGAAACACCACTTTACTGATAACTGTAGATTTATAGAAAATTTCAGCTCCTATAATTAAACACAAAATAATTTATCAAAGTTTTCTTGAATTCACACCTATTTCTTCCCTCACAATGTGCACTCCCATATGAACAAAACTAAAGCAACTCGGTATGATCCGTTAGCCGTTGCAATAGACTTGCCATGCAGCAGCAAGAGATCGAAATTGACAACTCCTGTAAGCTAATGTAAAAACAGCGAAAATCTCGCTTCACAAAACATGTTCCTGTTAATTTGTTTCAAGTGCGAGAGCAAGTAGCGTTCATTTCGACGAGCGAAAACCATCAGGCACATTTATCACAGTTAGCAGCTAATAAGGTACATAAGAAGGGGCCGATAACGATAAGGAGGATAAATTAGCTTAACATTAAGTAAATGCTAGAACCGAACCGTATGTATAACTACAGAACTACTTCCACAAGTTCTACGAGTTGCTATATCGAAGCAATGAAGTTACTTTCCGGATTCATTGAGCCACGGTAATAAATCATGTTTTCTTATTCAGGTTGCAACAACTAAACACTGTCTAATGGCATAAAGAAACATATTTTAATTAGTAATGTTATTCCTACATAGATTGTATAATTATAAATGAAGTCCAGATTCGGGTAGGAATAACATTGTCAACGCCGAACCATCTGTCAAAAAACCAAACCGTGAAGTCACGCAGCAATGACGAGTCACTCAGCGACTTTTAGTTCACTCACGACGCAATGACTCGTTTTAAATTGCCGAGACGGAGTCGTGCAATCTCCCCCTTCTTTCAATGATTTCACGATTCAAAAAAAAATTATTTGAAAACTGAATTTCAGTAGAGTCGAGGGCATGTTCCCCTAAGAAAATAATGGAATAATATAACAGGTGCACGGGCGAGGTGCTGCGCAATGCAGTCACGAGTACATCTAAACTAGGGCACTTGTCGAGAATAGAGCTAACGAGAAACATCATCACTTTAAAAGTTAGCATTGATAAAAGCGGTAAAGAATCGCGGACGTTAATATGTAATCTGTACACAGTAAAAAAGTGACATTTTGAAATTATTTTGTGAATAATTATTCATTGAAAAAATTTGACAGGTAAATATTATTTGATGCGTCGAGTATTGCGAGACGTTAGAAGTCATCAATAAATTGTTGCGGTATGATATGGAGATGAAATTCTAATCAACAAAAATAAGATGTACAAACCTATTTGTTGAACAGAGCTCTCAATTATTCATCGTATTCACAATTGATGAACTTGACCCCACCTCAATATCGAGGTCGTAAGTAGCGTTTGCTGATTGCGAACTTAGTTCTTCGATGATTCCAACTGACAAATGATGAAAAACTTGACGCTGTTGTAGATGCACACAGATCTGGCTTTGCCTAAAAAGTCGACGCTGTATGCCCTGTTGTAGATGGGCACAGGTCTGGCCGTGCAGCTTACCTTAAAGTCGACGCCGTACGCCCTGTTGTAGATGGGCACAGGTCTGGTCATGTAGCGAGACGGACGGCGGAGCGTCTCCGGAGACCGTTTTCGTCGCGTCAACACTGGATCCTCGTCCTGAAAAATTTTGTTTTCGATGACGTAAATAAAAAGTAAATACAAAAACGCACTTGTCAGCTACTTTAAATATTCAGATAACACAATATTAACTCTACTATTTGCCATTTGACTGTCTACAAAACAAAAACAATATACCAAATTATAATTTTCGAACAATTTTTGCGGTTTAACTCTAGACAAATAGTCATTAATATTTTAGTCCTACACCATTGATTTAGATTAAGTCTTTATTTATTCAATATTTCATTTTATTCACAGCTCAGACTGGTGATATGAATTTAGATAGGGAAGTTAAGATAATAAGAAAAATAATGCTGATTCAGAGGTGCATCACCAAGTAAAAATTTAGAACTGTTGCACAAAACAATTTAGGCAATAAAATATTCTACGGAGAAATATTATATATTAATAAATATTCTAAATATTCAGGCAATACGGAGAAGGACAGCGACATAAAAAATGCACATTAAGAATTTCGTACTAGTTTATAAATCTGAAATGTTATGAGTTAATTAAAAAAGTAGTACACCCGAGTTAATTAAACATTGTTTAATTAACTCGGGTGTAAAACGTATAATATCATTATATTCGCGAGTGTTGGAAATGTTAAAGTATGATAGCTCACAACCTACATAGCTGAGGTTTTCTAAATCGACTATTTATTCAATCTTATATATATTGTGACATAAAGAAATTTTTTATTGCAAGACATTTCCCTCTGATATTAATAAATGATATACACTAATTTAAATTGCTGATTCAGACGAACAGGACAATGTAACTAAATTCGTTCAGAAACGCAGGAAACTGTGACCCTAAATTTGATATATGGGGCCATTTGATGCATACCGTGGCTGCATATATACGTCTGGACCCATCTAAAGTCATTAATTAATTCGCACAGATTGACTATGAAACAGATTAACAAAATGAATAGCCAATTATCAGAAGGTCAAAGTCATATTGGAGGTCAGAATCTGCAGCATGGACCTCATAGTGTGAAGAGCAATAACAATCTATTTTAAATTCGATGCGCTCGGTATCAAAGCACCCATACAGAAAGTAATAAAAGTGCTATAGTTCTGATCGTTACTCGAGTAAAATCTACAAGACATGCTCACAAATTATTGACCAGAGAGTTATGCTTCCGACTCGCATCCAAATGAGTTAAAATTATATATCTATGCATTCAAATTCAGAATATAAATTAATTAAGAGAATATGGCTATGAGTTCAAGTTTTTCTGCACGTCCGACATATGAACAACATACACGTTGCCACGCTTTGCATGGCGTGGCCCTGCGTTTGCCAGTTTTCCTTGCATTTTCAATTATATTTTCACTGTGTAAACAACTGTTTCAGTTCGCGTTTGTCTACTGTGTAAAAATGAGATAAATACAGGAACAATTTGTGTGTTATAAACCTAATATTTGTATGAGGGTTGAGAAAATCAGTACCTATCTCAAAACTCTGAACATGCCGAAAGTAACACTCCTTAATTAGGTTAAAATGAGAAAATAATATGTATAATTTTTAAAGTTGTATGAAAGTTCGCAGTAAGCCAGACATAGGAAATTACGAAATTCTGAAGATGATGCCCTGCAAAGACCACGGACACAATAAGTGTCCATGGGTTACACTTGGCTTACATCGAACACATATTTCAATATTTAGTAATAAATAATTTAATTAATGTTCAATAAAGCTGGAAATAAGTCCAACATAAAACGCTCAAATAACTTTAAAAAAATTAGTGAATCTTAACTTTCTCCAAGGCTGGATAAGAAGAAGTCAGTGCAATGATAAAGACAGCAGTAGCAGGTGTCTGCGTTCGACCCACGGTGTCGAGTTACGAACTTCCTGACTCGTAGCAATGATCATGCAGCACTGACACTGTCAGGCACCGCGGCAACAACACATGTCAGCCCGTGTGTGAGTGTGTCAGTAGAGTTGACATGACACGGCAACGAAAAGGAATGCTCATGCAGCAAGAAAAACAATAAATGTTAGATGAGTAAACAGAAAATAAAATTAAATTAAATTATCGGTAAGGCTCCAAAAATATGTAGACATGAGTTAAAGCTCTATTTATTGTGAAATTTATTTATCTTGGAATGTAATAAACACTGTAATTATATAAATAATTAACAGCGCTTTGAGGTGAACAATGTCAGTAAACGTTCATCCGCTTACGATTCTCTCGTAGTTAAATATACGTCCAGTAATTTGTACGATATTTTAATAATTTATTAATTCATACAACTTAAATTATGAAATTTTCAGATTTTTCATATACGAACACTGTCTTTCGATGTAAGTTTGAATCAACGCCGAAGAAAATGTATTCTTTATCTCCTTTTAACAAAAACATCTGAGTAAATCTAATATCATGCGTCTTCGATGCATCCTAAACAACACGTGCGCTCTGGAGGTGACCGAAAAAGACACCAGGGCAGATCAAAGAGCAGCTCGATCCTGTCGTGGACGGATGGACTGCTGTGAAGCTGGAGTGACGTCAGGTGGCCATCGTTGTTACACTCCTTACAAGGAATGACGCTCTAGATAACGTCACGTGGCCATCGTTGTTACACTCCTTACAAGGAATGACGCTCTAGATGACGTCACGTGGCCATCGTTGTTACACTCCTTACAAGGAATGAAGATAACGTCACGTGGCCATCGTTGTTACACTCCTTACAAGGAATGACGCTCTAGATGACGTCACGTGGCCATCGTTGTTACACTCCTTACAAGGAATGATGCTCTAGATGACGTCACGAGGCCATCGTTGTTACACTCCTTACAAGGAATGATGCTCTAGATGACGTCACGAGGCCATCGTTGTTACACTCCTTACAAGGAATGATGCTCTAGATGACGTCACGTGGCCATCGTTGTTACAGTCCTTACTAGGAATGACGCTCTAGATGACGTCACGTGGCCATCGTTGTTACACTCCTTTCAAGGAATGACGCTCTAGATGACGTCACCTGGCCATCGTTTGTATACTTATCCCCAGAAGTAACGATCTATTTGATGTAACGTAGACATCGTCGCAACGTTTCGTAATTGGAGTGACGGTCTAGATGACGTCACGTGGCCATCGCTCCTATATACGTTCCATATAAGGAATGACGATCTATAGACTCACATACTGAGTGTTAATTCTTTAAGGTCACAATTAAGTTTCATAATACACGATATGTATATTCTTATATTCTGTTGCGATAAGTACGTATAGTTTATTAAACCATTTTATGCATCGGTCATCTCAAGCATTATAGAGGAATGAGTTCATAGAAATGCAAGTCATCGATTTTTAAGTATCTCCTATGTTATTAAATTAAACTTGAGTTTCATGCTTTTTTAAAATAACATTTACCTGCGTCAGAGATAATTAAATCTTAGTTGAAATTCATTTCGAATTTCTTCAAGCTCCAATGTATTCAAGACACAAATGGTTAATTCGTAAAAATTCAATTGTTGAAAAATTGAAATTCCTATCAATTAATAACGCAATTTGAATTTGTAAATAATATTTAAAGTATTAGCTGTTGATTTCATGGGATTCTAAACTCACTACGTTCAGATAGCTAGACAAGATTCTGCAAAAGAGTCTCAGCGATGCACATATATTGGCCTATATGAGCTGTCAGTTCTGCACGATGTGGAAGTTCAAGAGTATAAAATTGGATATAACATCTTATACATTGCACGCCCCTGTGCATAATGATCTTCTCTCAATTGGTTGAAGATAAGTCAAGTTTCAGCGTCATTGACATCCAGTTCTCTTTTGTGGCGAGCAGATGAAAAAATATAATTCAGTACTCACTGCTGTGAGCGACAAAGAGCGCATTTTCTCGTCGACGAAAACGTGAAGTCACGGACGGACAGACAGACAGACAGATGGACAGACAGACGGACGGACATGACGAGCATAATAGCGCCTATTTTCCATAAACGAGAAAATGCGCTAAAACACGCAGTGTCACATCAGCAGCACAATTAATTTTAATCATCAGAATCTATTTATTGCTGTCATTTCAATATTCAAGATTAAACGCGAACTATAATCATGAATACCTACTATATGGATGGGGATGATTACAATTGTATATATTTTTTATTAGGTTTAAATTATTATGTTATGAAATAAATAAGTTGTGCATCGCAGCCCATACCACATTCTAGGATGCTATTTATAGATGAATCATACGGAAACCTTTTTGAAGCAATTCAATCAATTAAAAAGTTTTAAGCATCGAAATATCCAGCATATTATTGCATTTAAACATGCCATTTTTAATAAAAGTCAAAGAATTAGTTATCTTTCTTGTGATACCTCGTCTATTCAAATGAAAAATAAGAAAAATCGCATTCTCCGGCAGTGAAACTCAACAGCATCCACGAAGGTCTTGCGTGCTGGATAAATGCACTCCGGGAACAACCATATTGCACGCACGCAACACGGGCGATAAATCAGGAGCGGGGCATATGGCTCATGTAGGAGGAAGTGACCCGTACACGCAGTGTCCTATCGCAGCTGCCAGCCGAGCGAGCTGTGGGCCGACCCTTACAGCCTTGTAAGTTGTGGACCGACCCTACAGCCTCACAAGCTTTGGGCAAACCCTACAGCTCATACAGCCTCACAAGCTGTAGGCCGACCCTGCAGCCTCGTAAGCGGTAGGCCGATCCTGCAGCCTCACAAGCAGTGGGCCAACCCAACAGCCTCCTGAGCTGTAGGCCGACCCTGCAGCTCCATAAGGTGTAGGCCGACCCTATAGAGCCTCACAAGCAGTGGGCCGACCCTATAGCCTCGTAATCTGTAGGCCGACCCTGCAGCTCCATAAGGTGTAGGCCGACCCTATAGAGCCTCACAAGTAGTGGGCCGACCCTACAGCCTCGTAAGCTGTAGGCCGACCCTGCAGCTCCATAAGGTGTAGGCCGACCCTATAGAGCCTCACAAGTAGTGGGCCGACCCTACAGCCTCGTAAGGT